CCCAGGTAGGATATTTACTTTATCTGGTGAGTTGTAAGAGTCCCCAGGTTGGATATTTACTTTATCTGGTGAGTTGTACGAGTCCCCAGGTTAGATATTTACTTTTATCTGGTGAGCTGTAAGAGTCCCCAGGTAGGATATTTACTTTATCTGGTGAGTTGTACGAGTCCCTTGGTAGGATATTTATAAATTACTTTATCTGGTGAGCTGTAAGAGTCCCCAGGTTCGATATTTACTTTATCTGCTGAGTTGTACGTGTCCCAGGTAGGATATTTACTTTATCTGGTGAGTTGTAAGAGTCCCCAGGTAGGATATTTACTTGATATGGTGAGTTGTACGAGTCCCCAGGTAGGGTATTTACTTTATCTGGTGAGTTGTACGAGTCCCCAGGTAGGATATTTACTTTATATGGTGAGTTGTACGAGTCCCCAGGTAGGATATTTACTTTATCTGGTGAGTTGTACGTGTCCCAGGTAGGATATTTACTTTATCTGGTGAGTTGTACGTGTCCCCAGGTAGGATATTTATAAATTACTTTATCTGGTGAGTTGTACGAGTCCCTTGGTAGGATATTTATAAATTACTTTATCTGGTGAGTTGTAAGAGTCCCCAGGTAGGATATTTACTTTATCTGGTGAGTTGTATGAGTCCCCAGGTAGGGTATTTACTTTATCTGGTGAGTTGTACGAGTCCCCAGGTAGGATATTTACTTTATCTGGAGTTTTCACAAGTGGTGAAAATATCTGGTAGAGAATGTGAAAGCTGTGTAAGAGGTAAAACATGAAAGATAAAAACTAAAGGACTTTGTCATAGGTTTTAAGTTCCTGCTGTTTTGTAGAAATATCACACAGTAATCTCTTCCATCAAATATGATATGTGGTGGGTCAATCTACTTTCTGATCATGTAAATAAATAACCTGATCGAGCAAATCAAATATTTTGTCACAAGGAACTGCTTTGTGAGAACATCTGCTATGTGAACACATGCATATGGAATGTAAACATATTTGGGTAAATTTATCAATCATTATATTAAAGATGGATATATTTTGGTCCATACTTGCAAACCTTTAAAACTTTAGGATCCCTGTACCACTGGCAAAAACTGTAACTAAGTTCTTAAGGATCCCTGTACCACTGCCATAAACTGAAACTAAGTTCTTAAGGATCCCTGTACCACTGCCAAAAACTGAAACTAAGTTCTTAAGGATCCTTGTACCACTGCCATAAACTGTAACTAAGTTCTTAAGGATCCCTGTACCACTGCTATAAACTGTAACTAAGTTCTTAAGGATCCCTGTACCACTGCTAAAAACTGTAACTAAGCTCTTAAGGATCCCCGTACCACTGCCAAAAACTGTAACTAAGTTCTTAAGGATCCCTGTACCACTGCCAACAATTATAACTATGCTTCGGAATCATTATTGTCAGCATGGCTATAGCTTTGATAAATCTTTAGGTAAGAAAACCAGGAACTATTTCAATAAACCATGTTGAAATTTACAAAGGAAAATGAAATCCAACATCCAATTGTGAATTTTCAGTGAAATTCTGTATTCCCGCTGATGGATTCTTAAATGGAATTCACTAGTCCGGCTATAAGAGTAATTTTGCTTATTGAAATTTGTTTGATGACGACACATCTAGTGTGTCAAAATAGTCAACTATATATATTCTAGTGGTGAAAACCAGCATGATGTTCTAATCATCATCATTTATCAACTTTGAAAACAGATAATGGCATCTACTTAATATTTTTAGAAGTAAAAGGTTTGATGGAATTAATAATTCAATGTACAAATTAGAGGGACGTTTATTAGACAGACATTTTTGACCATCAAAACTAAAGGATATCTGTAGTAAGGTTTCCTTCTTGATTTTTACAAAATCTCAAAAGATTTTACTGATAAAGAATTAAAAAATATTATAGTGTCATGATGTGTCATTAATTTCCCAATTAATGTACACTTCTTTATTATTCACCAAGTTTTCGTTTTCAGTGTACAATTACAATAGAAGAAGAAAGGTTTTTAACTCGGTATATCATGGGAGTTTGTGTCAAGAGATGGACTTTCTTATATGTGATCAGACATACATAATCACAGTATTGTTGACAGTTCTATTCATACCTGGCTATATTGGTAAAGTCATGGTATGATGTTAAACTAACTTATCGTTTGTAAAGGTGCTATACGATATTAGTCACTCCCACTACTATAGTAGGTTTACATGTATACAGTATTGACTGTACACTGTTTGACTTTGAGGTAGCCAGAAATTCTTTGTCCATTTAAACTTCTAAATAACATGTCTACAAATAGAAAGTTGTCAAGACAGGTGTCCTCTTATAACTTTTATATAGATATATGATTACAGTTTTGGCTCCTCAGTGGTTTTAAAATGAAGAACATATATACCAGGACAGTTCACTTGTAAGCAGTATAAAAAAGTCAATCTCCTTTAAAATAACTTGTATTAACAAAAACATGTTTTTATTTCAGACAGAACTAGCCGTTCCAATGTAATTGTTCCCCATTACAATACTAGGAATTGATATACATGTATATTAATACTCCAACCATCTGTCCCTCCATTAAAACACGAGGAATATATATATATTAATGCTCCAACCATCTGTCCCTCCATTAAAACACGAAGAACAGATATATATTAATACTCCAACCATCTGTCACTCCATTAAAACACGAAGAACAGATATATATTAATGCTCCAACCATCTGTCCCTCCATTAAAACACGAGGAATAGATATATATTAATGCTCCAACCATCTGTCCCTCCATTAAAACATGAGGAATAGATATATTAAGGCTGCCCACCTGTCTGTCCATCCATTAAAACATGAGGAATAGATATATTAATTCTGACTACCTGTCTGTCCCTCCATTAAAACATGAGGAATAGATTTATGTTAATGCTGCCCACCTGTCTGTCCCTCCATTAAAACATGAGGAATAGATATATATTAATGCTACCCACCTGTCTGTCCTTTCATTAAAACATGAGGAATAGATATATATTAATGCTCCAACCATCTGTTCCTCCATGAAAACATGAGGAATAGATATATTAATGCTGCCCACCTGTCTGTCCATCCATTAAAACATGAGGAAAGATATATAATAATGCTGCCAACCTGTCTGTCCCTCCATTAAAACATGAGGAATAGATATATATTAATGCTCCAACCATCTGTCCCTCCATTAAAACATGAAGAATAGATATATTAATGCTGCCCACCTGTCTGTCCCTCCATTAAAACATGAGGAATAGATATATGTTAATGTTGCCCACCTGTCTGTCCCTCCATTAAAACACGAGGAATAGATATATATTAATGCTCCAACCATCTGTCCCTCCAGGTCATGCCGTGTGAACTAAAAGTGTACCTCATTCGCAGGATGGAACTAAATTATTTCTTTGAATCGTGGACATTACATAGCATGCCTGTATATATATATGTATCTGGGTCACCTGTACTCTTACAACTGACCATCCTCAGTAGCTATACAGACAGTCAGTCTCGCTGTTTTACCACTATATATGGCCATGTGGTCCATGTCTCATTAGTTTGATATCTGTCTTGTTGTTGGAATATTTTCTCCATTATTGGCAGACAGCAGTCCACCTCGTTGGAAATTTGCCTTGTAAACAATTTTTTGTAATCTGGCGTCCATGCAGCAGAAAATAATTTTGATCCATTTACCCGTATGCTGCGATAGCAAAATATAATGATGATAAATAATATGTTTGTGTAGCAGTGATTATCATCAGCGGTATAAATGTCACTCTGTGACCACATCTCATTTAAAGTAAAAATGATAAAGTTAATGGCATGTATATACAATGTATAGTATACTGTAGACATGTATTGGTAATCAAATTGTGTTATATAAATCTCAAACTGGCTGAGGAAAACTGCACTTTTGATACTGGTACCCATTACTAAATCATTCTGTTGATTAGAATGGGTAAATATTTGATTAATTGATAGTATATTAATACATGTATCAGTTGTACAGATGGTGTATTAGTTGTACAGATGATATATTAGTTGTACAGATGGTGTATTAGTTGTACAGATAGTGTATTAGTTGTACAGATAGTGTATTAGTTATATAGATAGTGTACTAGTTGTAAAGATAGTGTATTAGTTGTACAGATGGTGTATTAGTTGTACAGATAGTGTATTAGTTGTAAAGATATATAGTGTATTAGTTGTACAGATAGTGTATGATTTTGTTTTAATTGAAAGGAAAGACTAGTTATATAGGCATATCCTTATACCTTTATTTTGTACCCATCAGATATAGTGGGTAAGAGTCATACTGATACACCGTAGATTAAATGAACTTGATAATTTAAGATAATGGAAAGAAACGAAATCAATATATCATATGTCAGTTAACTGGTGGACAGATATGGTATTGGAATTAGATTTTGTAATGTGATACAAAATTGAAGGTGAAAATCTCAATTGAAAAATTGAATCCATCCTATAACTGGTTTAATTTATAACTAAGTGCTCTAGAGAGCTCAGTGTTTAGGATATTGTGAGGTGGAGATAGGGGTAATTGATCCCTGGTGACTTTGTCTCAGCCTTTGTTAGACCCCTCACACACAGTAAAAAGTCAGCATGTCATGGTAACTATAGGGAATATTGAAGTGATTTTGTCTCTGATTGTAGCAGCCTCTCTGTGTTCATGTTTTATTTACACTTATAATACTTTTGCAGTACACTGCTAATAAATTCGTAAAATATCTCCTTTCAGGTAATAACATTTGAGCTCCAATATGTCAAGGCTGATGAAATCCCACAGCCTTTTGGCTAAAGTAACTTGAAAAAAGTTTGTAAAGTTTGGTTGTTCAATTTGTAGAAATTAAGATCCATGTACAATCACTATTAACTTCTGATATTTCTCAATACTGTTATTGTTATGACACCGATATATATCAGTAACATTTGACATTTTCTCTACAGGTGCCAATGCTAACCTGAACTGCTCTGACTACAAAGGCAACATCATCCAGGATGGGAAGACATTCCAGCCGACCAAGGACATGTGTCAGACATGTCAGTGTGACAACGGATTCCCCATCATGTGTCAATCTGTTAAGTGTGCCCCGCCAACGACGCCCTGTAACTGGATACCACTCATCGACCAGTGCTGCAAATTTGAATGTCCAGAAAAAGATTTGACAGGAGGGGGAGATAATTCCATCAACAGCACCAAACCTGTAGATAATGGGGTGGATGGTAAGTACAGTTACTGACATCTTTAAAATGTCAGAAGGGGAGATAACTCCATTAACAGCACCAAACCTATAGATAACGGAGTGGATGGTAAGTACACGAGTTACTGACATCTATAAAATGTCAGAAGGGGAGATAACTCCATTAACAGCACCAAACCTGTAGATAACGGGATGGATGGAAAGTACAGTTACTGACATCTATAAAATGTCGGAAGGGGAGATAACTCCATCAACAGCACCAAACCTATAGATAACGGAGTGGATGGTAAATACACGAGTTACTGACATCTATAAAATGTCAGAAGGGGAGATAACTCCATCAACAGCACAAAACCTATAGATAACGGGATGGATGGTAAGTACACGAGTTACTGACATATATGAAATGTCAGAAGGGGAGATAACTCCATCAACAGCACCAAACCTGTAGATAACGGGATGGATGGAAAGTACAGTAACTGACATCTAAAGTTTTCCAAAGGGGAGATAACTCATCAACAACAGCACCAAACCTGTAGGTAACATTTATACCATGATACCTGGTTTCTTGACCTATTGAACATTGGCTTACCGATCATAATATCAGACATTCTAAGAGTAAGTTACAAGAGGTAGACCCGAAACAAACAAATTTGGCATCAAATATAATGTATCAATGTTATATTCAATGAAAAATCATTGAATTTTCTGTTTATTACATTTCCTGAAATTGCAGGACACTCAAAAATGATAGTTTAGGGACCTTTAATTGGATGTCCCAGTAACCTCTCACATTTTTATTATGTCACATCAACTTTTTACCATCAGTATCTACTGGAAAAATCTGACATTTTTCTTATCTTCACAATAAGCATTCCTCCTCCCTCCATATTTCACTGGTAAAATGTAATAAACAGTTGTGTACCTAGGGGTTGAGGACGGGTACACTGTGTGGGGTCTTCTTGTGTCGAGGTTGTATTCAATTACTTGTTACTGCAGCAGTATTGTATGACCTTTTCATCAAAAGGTAGGTGAGCACATCCAATAGTGATACACATAGAGGTAGGCACAAACAGCATAACAGTAATAGTGAACTCTCCAGGGAGCTTCACACTTTCATTATTTTCCATTTAAATTTGTTTTCGTTTCAAGTGATTTGGAAATAAAGAAATGTAATAAGAATTTTAAACAGCTTGAAACACCTGCCTGACACAAAGTATCTAGTGTTCAGGGTCACCATGAACCATCTCCACTACCCTGGCCATATACCTGGTAGTATGATAAGGTTAGAACATACATACAAAAAGATTAACAAACCTGAATATCAACTATTTATTTAAATGGGATTTTTAACCTTGATAGAACCTGTCTTTGGTAAAATGATAAACTTGTTACCAGGTATACAAAAATGTATGACAAGGTCAGTAGCGTGAGTGTTTCTATAAGTCATTACTCAATTGCTGCATAATCATGATCAAGAGGGGGGCAAAAAGGTTCTTACCCGGGAGCTTCCACTCCAGATTGAGGTTACAAATATCTGTTTATTACAAATAATGAACCTTGAGTTAAACTTTAACATCAAGGCCATGAGTGAACCTTCAATGTATAGGGACCGTGAGTCTAACCTTAAGGTATTCCATGTATAATGAAGTCTGCAAACATTGGCCAACATCGGGAAACTTCGTAATGTGGGAATTCCCCCTAATCATGACGTCATTTTCAGTATGAGTTATCGCCCTTTGGGGGAAACCCCGATTGTAAACCAAATGGCGATTGTTCTTTATTTGCGCGGTCATTTTAAGAAAATCTCGTCTGTCAAGGGACTTGATGTGTTTGTAATTATTATTACAGCGGTGGACATGTGTTAGAGGGGAAGGAATTTGTGAAATAGAGATTGTGCTCTTTTTAACAACGTGAAGCTAGACACTCCATGCAGAACGTTCTGAGTGGAAAGATGGGTGTCAGGTCGTTTCCTCGTAAATCCCGTTCACCCTGGGTCGTTCCGCACTAAGTTGTTTCGCCTTAAAAATGTTTTTAGGGTGAAGTGTTTTGTCCTGTTTAGTTGTGTATGGTTAATTTAATATAATTTGAAGTTTTGCTATGTCTCCCTAATGTTTTTTTGCAATAAGACTCGTTAGATTTCTACCTTGTTGACCAAATCGACAAAACGCACGCGGGCTACAATATCATTATTTTTCGAAATTGAAATAGAGAGATTGATGTATTCATATACTTGTATTGTAAGATGATGTATCAAGACAATCATGGTACTTTAAGCACAAGTAAATGGTAGATATGTTCCATATTGTTTGTACTTTAACTGTGTTCTATGTAATGTATTACAGAGGCATCGTCAGACAGCATCACCACACTGGGGCTTCGTCTGGTGGCCAGTACTGTCACATCCTTCCTTGTGTTGGCTCTCCTGCTCTTCATGGTTCACCGTCTACGCCAGCGTCGCCTCATGATGGCTATGAGACGTATGTATATATAAGTACAGAGGAACCTGTTAGTGAAATTAACCAGTGATAGACAATCATGGTACTTATGAACCTTGTAAATGAACTCCTATAGTGACACAACCATGAGACTTATGAACCTTGTTAATGAACTCCCATAGTAACACAACCATGAGACTTATGAACCTTGTTAATGAACTCCCATAGTGACACAACCATGAGACTTATGAACCTTGTTAATGAACTCCCATAGTGACACAACCATGAGACTTATGAACCTTGTTAATGAACTCCCATAGTGACACAACCATGAGACTTATGAACCTTGTTAATGAACTCCCATAGTGACACAACCATGAGACTTATGAACCTTGTTAATGAACTCCCATAGTGACACAACCATGAGACTTATGAACCTTGTTAATGAACTCCCATAGTGACACAACCATGAGACTTATGAACCTTGTTAATGAACTCCCATAGTGACACAACCATGAGACTTATGAACCTTGTTAATGAACTCCCATAGTGACACAACCATGAGACTTATGAACCTTGTTAATGAACTCCCATAGTGACACAACCATGAGACTTATGAACCTTGTTAATGAACTCCCATAGTGACACAACCATGAGACTTATGAACCTTGTTAATGAACTCCCATAGTGACACAACCATGAGACTTATGAACCTTGTTAATGAACTCCCATAGTGACACAACCATGAGACTTATGAACCTTGTTAATGAACTCCCATAGTGACACAACCATGATACTTATGAACCTTGTTAATGAACTCAATAATGACAGCAATGATGAGACTTATGGAACTTGTATATTAACTCAGTATAGACATTCATGGGACTATCTTAGTCAGTCAGAGTATATAATACAGGTTTTTTTTACAATCCTTGAAATTATAACTGTAAGTAATTATTACTGCATAAAATAATATATTTCACAACAGTTTTAAAATATATCATATTTGCAGAAACTACATACATGTAAATTAAGGCTTTATTAATCCAGCCACCCACATTCAAAGCTAGAAACGACTGGATTGTGAAATGGTGGGATTACTTGATTAACTTGAATAGCAGTTCTGTTCCAAATATTAGGACATTCATGTTTGTAGTTCCTAGATTAATGTGGCTCAGCTATATTATATGTTTATTTTTCTTCCTACTTTCATTAGGTTACCAAGACAGCCACCTAGAGCAAATGGATGATTTTGACGAGAGAGTAATCCCAGAGTACTGGCTTCAGTGTCCCCCATACGAGGATCCGCCACCTCCCTACACCCCTCCGAAGCCCGATCATCGAATGCCCCCGAGGGAGGCACCCCCACCTTATGAGGAAGTACCCAGCAACAATAATAACATCAACATGACTGACATTATCCAAAATACACGACAACATGGTCGTGTAGAGCAGGAAACGCCCCCTAATGTCAGTCATGTAAACCATGTACGCCAGTCGTCTGACAGGATACAGGATGCCCTCAACACAGAGTTGTTACAGAGTATACGCTTTCGTCAGCAACTGATGTCTCTCAGCAGCTCGGAGGAGTCTGTGGATTTATCTGTACCCAATCACAGGGCTCATTACATCCGCAAATCAAACTCCACTGCCAATACAGGGGGCCTATGTAATGGTAACAGGAACACTTCAGGGGCAGGTAACTCTGACCGGAGTAAACGTCACTCTGGCGTGCTGAGTGGAACCTGCAGGGTAGGTCATAGTAACAGCTTTGCTGCCCCACCCTCCTTGCCCTGTGGGTATGATACTGTACCGTGGCACAAAACTGGATACAGTCTTCCTCAATCATGTTCCAACACAGTTGTCACAAGGTCTAGGCATGGAGGCCAGGATCGCCCCATCAGAAAGTCACATTCGGGGTCAAGTAATGTCAAACAATGTTCACACAGAGGTGCATTACAACAGGAACGAGGGTTACCTGAACCAGAAGATATGTGTAGATTAGAGGAAATGTCTTTGGAATCCTACAATAATAACAATTTAGGTACCAACACTAACAGGACGGCTGATGGTGACTTGTTCAGTCAGCCATCAGAACAACGAGTTGTTGCTGATATTACAGATACATTGGAAGGCTACGTTCCACCCTCCTTCCAGGATCAGTCAGACAACAGAGGCACAGCTTCTTCTAAACGAAACAAGCCTCCCTCTCATCACCAAAGATATGGTTCTCTCCCTTCCAACATATGCACTGACACGCATATGAGTGCCAGTCTTAGCGCAGGCCATGTACGTAGTAGTTCACAGGACAGTGCTCAGACTGGAGCACATGTAGATCCATGTCCTTTGTTACGCAGTAGTGAAATGACAATGCCTTCTAATCGGTACAGTAGGGATCAGTGTGATATTGTAGACAGAAATGAACTGATGACATTTCGTTCACCTCGAAGGCCACAAAGTCTGGAGCATCTTCGACATCCTGGCCATGCATTTAATGTACCAGACATCTCAACAATTTCTGAATCTGGATTGTCAGGAAATGACAGCATTTCCCAACAGCAACCTACGCAACAACAGCAGAATTTACAGGACTTACAAGCACTTAGGGAACTAAGATTATCAAACTTATTACGGAGCCCAGAGTGTGGTCCTGTCAATATTGCTAACTCACCTCCGTCACCTGTGCAGCCCCTGTCCATTCAGGGTGCAGGCATGCCTCGTTCAAGCTCCATTGTGTCTGATGTGTCAATGTTTTCTGTGTGTTCAGAAACTGGAGAGAAAAAACTTTCCCAAATCACTGGTCAAGCACTTAGGAGTGATGCACAGTATCCAGAAAATGCTTTTGTAGGACGCCCGACACTTTCTGTGTTTTCAGGGGGAGACAATTGTATTTCAACAAATAGGTTACCAAAGGCTAGTGAAAACGCTGCAAATGGTAACATTGATAATCAGAATGGCAATGATCCGGAAAATAGCAAAACTACGGTTGATACGTGTGCAGGAAATGAATCAGGTTGTGATAACAATGACAGAGGTTTGGATGTTGTTAATCGAAGAAAAGACGAAAAACAGAAATCTAGTAGGGAAAATCGACTACCACACGTGAAATTACGACACAAAAATAAACACAGAACACATAGGTCCTCATCAGGTAGCACATCTAGTGGTAAAAAACGACACTCGCTCACCTCTGATTCACCTTCCGAGTCTGCTACCAGTGTACGACCTTTGCCAAGATCAAGATCTGAGGTCAAACATACAGAGCAACTTTCTGCTCTGAGGAAGCAATATAGAACGAAAAAGGGGGATCCCCAATTTGTACACTGTGATATGATGCCCCCTGCAGGGCACAGTCATCATTCTTTCCATGGGGAACCTGATTATGTGACTTATTCTCCAGGTGCCAATAATTGGGGTGAAGTTTCCGGGTTGTATGCTGTTACTAGTATTATGGGCGATGTGCGTCACTCAAAATCAAAATCAAAGTTGAGTGCTGCCAACAAATCAGGAAGTGTAAGCAACAAACAACCAAACTCCCCAACTGATGGAAGCTCTAGTCTGTTTTGTCCGACAAATGTGGCATTTGTAAAAAAGAAAGTGAAATCAAGCAAGAGAGGTCGCCATGGAAATGCTGCTGATCAAAGATCACAGGATATCAAAATCAGTGGCTACTCTCAAAACAAAATCCTAAACAGTGATTTAGACATAGAGTTATCTCCCATGCATGAACTCTCTGACAAAAGCACGAAATTCAAAGATAGCTGCATTGTTGATAATAAAGACGGAGTGTTGTTGGAGTCTAGGTCCAATATGGATAACAATAATTATAGTATGTAGTAGTGATGTATAAACCGACTGTTGTACATCATCCAGGAAGAGACACGACTAGGAGATGTATAGATATGATTTTTTTCTCAGCAGTGTGTACTGGTTCAGTAAAGACTCATTGTTCAGGACTGTTTTGTTTAAAAGAATTATCAGCTAAAATCTGACATTAGTATGATCAGAAGTATCATTAAAAACCAACTAATTTCTAACTATTGGCATCTGGGAAAATTATTTTCTGGACAATCAGATGCCACATTAAGAAAGTCTTTTCCACTCGATAAGGAAAATTTTCCCAATCATGATTGTTATTATGTTTAGAATGTCATTCTGAAATTTGTTGGCATCTCCCCGTACTAATTGATGAGCTGTATATACCCAACCAGTCTTTGTTTGTCATTGAATCAGAAATGTACAATAATGTCTGATATACTTTAAGAAATCGTGAGCTTGTGATCCATTGGATAACATCAAGAACTTTTAAAGTTATTCACTGGAGCTGTAAAGGAATTTGTTTTTGTTTTTTTTGTCTTTGTCAAGTTCTCACATTTTTATGTGAGCATTTGTCTAGTTTAATCTCATTTTGAATCTCTTAAGAAATTCTATTAATGCATTTATGCCTTATTACACACAAATTGAAAGTGTTCAAACATTTATATTGGATCTGATTGGTTTAAACGCAGAATATTTCTTTTAATACCTTAACATACAAATAATATAGATTAAGGGGAGGATGGTGATATGGGAAAACATGTGCTGATCATAACTTGCTGGAAAGTTAATATTTCGAGACATATCTCTCAAAATGTCTTTTTCACTGGCCAGGTAACATCAGTGTTCACTGGCCAGGTAACATCAGTGTTCACTGCACAACATACTGCTTAACATCAGATGAAAAAAATAATAATTCTTTTCATAAAAAGGTTGAAACGGGAGATGAACTTTACATGCAGAACTTGAAATCCTTAACACTGGAGTGGAAATATCTGTTTTAGTTGTTTCATTTAAATCCGATGTAAAATACATAACAAGTCTGTGGCACAATACAAACCATATGAGTGGGAAGTCTGTGGCACAATACAAACCATATGAGTGGGAAGTCTGTGGCACAATACAAACCATATGAGTGGGAAGTCTGTGGCACAATACAAACCATATGAGTGGGAAGTCTGTGGCACAATACAAACCATATGAGTGGGAAGTCTGTGGCACAATACAAACCATATGAGTGGGAAGTCTGTGGCACAATACAAACCATATGAGTGGGAAGTCCGTGGCACAATACAAACCATATGAGTGGCAAGTCCGTTGCACAATACAAACCATATGAGTGGCAAGTCTGTGGCACAATACAAACCATATGAGTGGCAAGTCTGTGGCACAATACAAACCATATGAGTGGGAAGTCTGTGGCACAATACAAACCATATGAGTGGGAAGTCTGTGGCACAATACAAACCATATGAGTGGGAAGTCTGTGGCACAATACAAACCATATGAGTGGGAAGTCTGTGGCACAATACAAACCATATGAGTGGGAAGTCTGTGGCACAATACAAACCATATGAGTGGGAAGTCTGTGGCACAATACAAACCATATGAGTGGGAAGTTTGTGGCACAATACAAACTATATGAGTGGGAAGTCTGTGGCACAATACAAACCATATGAGTGGCCAATAAACTTTTAACACTTCTTCTGTAATATACCTATTTTTTTATGCACTAAATTTTTAGAGCATTATCAAATTTTGACAGTTTTGGTTAGTGCATTAATGAATTGGCAAAATATGCAATAGACAGCCATATACAGGAACTAAAATTGATACAATCCTAATTGAGTGCAATATTTTAAGTGTAAGAAGTGCTAAACTAAAACTATCACTAAAATTAAGTATTTTTACTGTAAATGAAATGAATGAACGACTTTGCAAATAATATATCGGATCTCCTAAACGAGTCTGCTTACAGCTGTTGTAAGGGAGGTAACTATTAAGATTTACTATCTTGCCATTCTTTTCTTTATCAATTCACAATTCAAGTGTTTACAGGAAAATGTACTCTCATTTTCTATAAGTCAAGGAAAATTGATAATCAAAAATCATTTTTTTTGCAGTACAATGTTTTATTGACTTAAGTATTCATACTGTTTTGCTCAATGTCTGGATGAACTTTCATTGCTAGATTTAAGCTGACAGTGCAAGTTAAAAAGCTTTCAATTGAGATTTAAAAAAATAAAATATTTTTTTTATTCTGGTTTTGAGAACTTCCCCAGTGACAATCTCTCCTGGCTGACTAAGGAAGCGCAGACATTTTAGAATGTACTTGCTAAGTAACGAGTATGGGTCTCGCTAGGTATAAAAAGTGCATTGTGACACTACTACTACTAGTATACTATACCCAAACTCAAAACCAGAGAGAGAAAAAAATGTTTAAATCTCAATTGAAAGCTTTATAACTTGCACTGTCAGCTTTAGGAACTGCAGGTTTCTGTAGATAAATAGAAGTTTAAAAACATGAGGATATGAAAAAATCTTATAGTGACAAGAAAATCAAAAAGTTCAGTGACACAATGTAGTAAAACTTACATGCTTCACAACATATACTTAAATAACAGTTCAAATGTAGCAGATTTTTCAGACAACGGCCCAAGAAGCAAAATAGAAAGTTCTGTTGTTTCTCTTAATCGAGGTTCTGCTCTAGTGTTGAAACATGTGCTCCTTCAAGTAAGCCCAATTATATTGGTCATTACTAACTTACTAATGTCCCTGGAAGTGAGAAAAATTGTGTGTGATCTATGGAGAAATTAACAGTTTTGGATGAATCTGTATGTATTAATAATATAAACTTTTCATATTTAACTAACTTATTGTGAAGTGTATAAAAATATTAATATTAACGTTATACACTTTACATAATAACAGATCTTATTGTGTTAAGGTACAGAAGGATATATTTATGTGTTTGTTTTCAATTTTACTTTCTGATTTACATTGAGTTACAATGTTTTTGAGGATGGAAAATCGGTTGAGTATTATTTAACAGTTACTGTTGTGATTTCATGATAATGCGTTTTATGCGGGGGAATTTTAGACTACCCATACTATTCCTAGTAACAGAAATATTTGAATCTTTTGGTTGTTTTGTGTTCGAGATGAGAAGGTACAATGTTAACAGTATGTAATATTTAGTGACATTATACATATGTATATGAAGTATGTAAACCTCATTTCTAGTAAAGTATTTGTTTTATGTGTGGAAGAAAATATTTGTAACACATGTCACTACATGACATTTTCATCAGATGGTTGATTCTGATATGTTGGACAAAATTTCTACCATCTATCTTAAACTTGGGGAATCGTCTTACCTTTTAAGTGTGCAAAATCTACACAGATTTCCCTGAATACTGGTGTCTTAAACTTCATATTTTACTACTTCTTACAATGAGACTTAATGTCACTTTACCAGCAACGTGAAGGACGGAATCATGTTGTCAGAAAAAACTGTCAGTTCAGTCCAGATTAATGATGGTCAAACAGTGTTTCAGTAAAACACAGTAAATGTCCAAGGATCTCTTCAGATCTTTCCTAAGTAAGCATGTAGCAGACATAACCAGCATGTTGGGTGTCAGTAAAGTCAGGTTTCGCTGAATAATTTTTAGTTCAAATGATTTTAAAACACCAACTTAATTGTCACAGATGTACCCTTTTAAAAGGGGTTCCTTACAAGATAACTTGTAATATATATTTTATGAACCTTATTGTGCATTTTACAATAGTATATACAGTATTGACACTTTCAAAGAGCCCATAATTGATTTAGTTGTTAATATATTTAAGGGAGATAACTTCTGCACAAATTACTTCCTAATACCGGTATGTAAGGTAGGATATATATATATATGCTTCAAAGTCATAATGTTTTGAGAAAAAAAAAGATTCGCATACATTACATCTATATACTTTATATCTGTGACTTGCTGCTGAAGAATTAAACTCATAGACAGGAACCTAGGAATACGGTTTGCCCCTCCAGCTGACAGACTCCTGTCCAATTACTTACTGGTACTGGGTTTATAATCAATTGGATACAAAAATCAATTAAAAGGTAATGGAAAACAGTATTATCAGGCTTTGTTAACAGTATCATCAGGCATTGTTAACAGTATTTACAGTAATAATTAACAGTTTTACAGTAAGCGTTGATAACGGTACAAGAAGTGATGGTTTCTGGTATTTTGGTGACAGTTGAAAGTCTGTAATGATGCAAGTCTGATTGATTAATGTAATTAACACAAAACCTGTACAACACCTGCTCTCTAAAATAATTTCTCTTGTCAATACACTCTCCATTTACTTGTTAATGCCGAAAAATATGATCTCATGAAGGGTGATGGAAAAACACACTCGACACCTAATTAATTTTGTATGAATGAGAAGTTGTCACCAAATGATGCATGGTGGACAACAATATGTATTTTATGATTGTATTGTTTGCATACAAAGTATGTTGTCATGTATTATCATGAAATCCTTCATTTCTAAGTCAAATTATTTACTAATATTAATTTCTACTGCTTACAATGTTGTAAAGCTTGTAATTTACATGGTCCTGGAGACATGTATTGGTGTAGTGATTTATAGTTTTACAATGTTGTGAAGCTGGTAATTTACATGGTCCTGGAGACATGTATCAATGTAGTGATTTATAGTTTTTACATGGTCCTGGAGACATGTATTGGTGTAGTGATTTATAGTTTTACAATGTTGTGAAGCTGGTAATTTACATGGTCCTGGAGACATGTATCGGTGTAGTGATTTATAGTTCGATGTTTGTATATCTGCCAAACCTTTTAACATGTATATTAAAGCAATCCAAACCAGACACTTGTTTGTTTTCTCCTTTCCATGACACAAAACAGGAGAATTTTACACAAGACAACAGGCTTTTACACTGATGGTGTGTAAGTCACAGAAATTGTCAGAAACTAAGGTGGCGGTTGGTTTCTAGGGAAACATACGTATATGCAGAACGTTCTGTCCATCATGGGTTTTGACACCTAAATTACAACAAGAATTCCAGAGGAGTGGATGTGTCGACTGTGCAGGCAACTGTAATGAGATTATGAAGACTGGATCAATTTACATTAACGATGACTTCGATCAATCCAAGGGATGTTGAGTTATCGTATGGAAACCTTGTCACAACCAATATGGACGCAGACGTTGACAAAGCGTTGCTGCTTGACCACCAGCAATCCCATGGCATATTAACAGTCAGTGTGAAGTTTTGAGGTTAATCGGCCTAAGGAAACTCTAGTTATTGCACGGAAACAGATTTTCTATTTATAGTAACGTTGACCCTGACGTTTGACCTTCGGATCTGAAAAGCAATCCCAAGCAAGCATTTGGTAAGAAAGCACTGTATGAAGTCTCGAGTCTGATCAACCCAAAGAAACTCTAGTTATTGCACGGAAACAGAATTTCTTTTTACCAGTATAGTAACTAACATTGACCATGACCTTTGATCTTTGGACCTGAAAACAATCCCGAGCAAGCACTTTTAGTAAGGAAGCACTGTATGAACATTGAGTTCAAAACTCTAAGGAACTTAGTTATCGCACAGAAACAGATTTTCTATTTATAGTAAAGATGACCTTGACCTTTGACCTTCAGACCTGAAAAGCAATCCTAAGCAAGCACTATTGGTAAAGAAGCACTGTATGAAGTGTGAACCCAAGGGAACTCAAGTTATCGCCCAAAAATTTGTTTGGACGACGCAACCGACAACAACAATGTCAACAAAGTAACACATATGTCGCCTGGTGTTGCAGGCGACACAATTAAGTGTAAAAGAATGCTTTGATGTTCATGAACTTTCCTTAAATTTTTTGTTCTTTTTTCTGCTCGAGTCTGATTTTGAACCAGAATTGAAATTCAATATGGCCATCTGTGATTTTTGCACCTGAAGTGTCCAAAGATTTTTGATCAATTACTCTTGAATAATTACTTATGTTTTCTTCAAACTTCCAACAACAAATTACACATGTATTGTAGTATCAACTGCTGCTCACATTTGATTTTGATCTTGATTTGAAATTCAATATGACTTCCATTTTCTGTGCAATAATTCTTGAAGAAATGATTTTGTTTTCACAAAGCTTTATAGAACTCCCCACTCAGGTTTGATTAAAGTTTGTCTTAAGCCTAGTATGGCTGTCAGCAACCATCTTGGATTTCATGTTTCCAGACAATATCTTTAGAAGATTTTTTTTTTTTAAACTTGCCTGGTATACTTTCTGGTATACTTTTTACCTAAATCCCTAGCTGAGGTTATATTCTTGGCCTTGTGTATATCTCATGAGACTTTGGTGATCTGATTGGCAGATGTTCCAGATGATAAATTTTGAAGGGTTTATTGAATTGTGATGAAACTTGCTTTGTGTAGTATTCATATACTTATTATCCAAGTCCCTTGTTCAAGCACATAGGTAAAATTCCAATATATTTAATGAGGCTGCTGTACTTTGATCAATGATACAGCAGCAAATACGTTGCATTTTATTCTTTCATAATAGGTAAACTATATATCGGCCATGCATCTTTCAGTTTAACCTGCATAACAAGTTGTACAAGTAATAATAAACAAGAGGCCCAGAGGGCATGTATCGCTCACCTGGATATCAAAGCAATCATGGCAAAATATTCTCCAAATAAGATCCAAAGGAATGGGCCAGACCCCAAGGACAATCCTTGTATCCTATCTGTATTAGATTTTTCATGCCCAGACATTTTATGTATGGTTATGGGGTGGGGATCTCAACTGTTTCCAAGGTGTGACTCAAAAAAAAAACTAGGTCCCTAGGGTTGTGGCCAGACCCCAGGATCAATTATAATATCATGACTGCATTCGTCTCTTTATGCCCAGCATTTGTATATATACAGTTTTGGGGTGGGGATCTCAACCGTTTCAAAGTCATGACCCAGGGACTATGTCTCCAAGGGTGGGGCCAGACCCCTGAGCAATCCTGGAAGCATATTTGTGTTCTTCTCTTCATTTTCAGCAATTGTATATATGGTTATAGGGTGGGGATCTCAACCGTTTCCATGCAATAAACTATTTTTGGCCCTCCCCTTTAGCCAAGGGGATCTGCCCCACTACTTGGACAATTTGAATCCCAGCCTCCAATGAATGCTTCCTACCAAATATGATTGATATCTAGTGCATAGTTCTACAGAAGTCATTTATAGCAATATAGCCAAATTACCCTTTTTGACCCCACCCCTCAGCCCCTTTGGGGTCAGCCCAACCATTTGTACAATTTTGAATCCCCGCCTCTCATGAATGCTTCTGACCAAATATGATTGATATCCAGCGCATAGTTCTACAGAAGAAGTCATTTATAGCAATATAGCCAAATTACCCTTTTTGACCCCACCCCTCAGCCCCACGATTTGTACAATTTTGAATCCCCGCCTCTCATGAATGCTTCTGACCAAATATGATTGATATCCAGCGCATAGTTCTACAGAAGAAGTCATTTATAGCAATATAGCCAAATTACCCTTTTTGACCCCACCCCTCAGCCCCACGATTTGTACAATTTTGAATCCCCGCCTCTCATGAATGCTTCTGACCAAATATGATCGATATCCAGCGCATAGTTCTACAGAAGAAGTCATTATAGCAATTTAGCCAAACTGCCCCTTTTTGGCCCCACCCCTCAGCCCCACGATTTGTACAAATTGAATCCCCACCACCTGGGAATGCTGCAAGTCAAATATGGTTGATATCCATCACTTAGTTTCAGAGAAGAAGTCGCTTAAAGCAATATAGCCTAATTGCCCCCTTTTGGCCCGCCCCCTCAGTCCCCTGGGGGGTCAGCCCCACCAGTTGTACAATTTTGAATCCCTGCCTCCCATGAATGCTTTTGATCAAATATGATTCATATCCAGTGCATAGTTCTACAGAAGAAGTTGTTTGTAGCAATATAGCCAAATTGCCCCCACCCCTCAGCCCCCTGGGGGGTCAGCCCCACCATTTGTACAATTTTGAATCACCACCACCTACGGATGCTTCCAGTCCAATATGGTTGATATCCATCTCATAGTTCCAGAGAAGAAGTCGCTTCAAGCAATATAGCCAAATTGCCCCCTTTTGGCACCGCCCCTCAGCCCTCTGGGGGGTCAACCGTACCATTTGTACAATTTTGAATCCCCACCACCTAGGGATGCTTCCAGTCAAATATGGTTGTTATCCATCACTTAGTTCCAGCGAAGAAATCGCCTAAAACAATATAGCCTAATTGCCCCCGCCCCTCAGCCCCCTGGGGGTTCAGTCCAAATATTTGTACAATTTTGAATCTCCACCACCTAGGGATGCTTCCAGTCAAATCTAGTTAATTTCCAATAAGTGGTTAAGAAGAAGAAGTCTTTTAAAGCAATTGTTGACGTACATACGACGGACAATGGACGGTATGGCATAAGCTCACCTTGGTCCTTCGGACCAGGTGAGCTAATAATGACAAAACAAAATACATTGTATAAAATAAATGGCACTTTATTGATTTTAACATAATTTATTGCCTATAGCAATGGGATTGGGCACCAGTTGTACAACTTATACAAAGCCCTTTCCTTTTAACTTTATTGATTTTAACATAAATCGTTGCCTATAGCAATGGGATTGGGCACCAGTTGTACAACTTATACAAAGCCCTTTCCCTTTAACTTTAGTGATAATAATTTACATACATTAACCACATGTGCACATTTATATTTCTATTCTGTATGCAATTTATTTTTCATAATAAAATAATCCACCTGATATATTTCCATTTACCCCTATCTTTCAAGGTACATAGGAAAATTTAAGGAATTCTTCAGGATAATAACAGTTATTGCAATCCTAGGCAGTAAATATAAATGCATGAGCTGTAAAAACAAGAGGCCCATGGGCCTTAACAGTCACCCGAGTTCTGATATATTTATACAGACAATTGATTTTTGTTTTTAAAACAAGAACAGAAGTATTATTCAAAGTGACAAAAAACAATAAAAAACCTTATTCAATATCTAGCATACAGATTTAAGACTGAAAAGTATTTGAATTTAGCACCTCTGATTCTAAACAAGGAAAATGAAGAAATTTTAGCACACTGACTCCTTTGGGTGCCCTTTGGGGCAGAGCTGGCTCAAAATGTTCAAAGTATCAAACTGTCAACTCAGGGTTATAATTCCAATCAAGTTATCAACATGTAATATTCAAAGTATCATTTGCCATAATAAATTTGCCTCCCTCCCCTTCCCCAGGGGTAAACGTGAGACCATAGGGTCATAAAATTCACAATTTTGGTAGAGCACCTTAAAACCCTTCCATCTATGAAGAGTATTTGATTCTACCCTATCTGGGTATTCAGAAGAAGATTTTGAAATTTTAGTCAATTCAACCCTTTTTGGCCCCACCCATCAGCCCCGGGGGTCAGTCAGGGGTGATATGTGCATACCATCAAACTGCTATCCAATACCAATAATGCTAACCCAAATTGAATTACTTCCAATGGAAATTAAACAAACGTTGGGCCAAAATGTGATTTCCCTATATAAACTATAGTAGAGTTTACCCCCTCCCAAGGGGGAAGCGTGAGACCCCAGGGTCAAGAAATTCACAATTTTGGTAAAGCACCTTAAGACCCTTCCAACTATGAAGAGTATTTGATTCTACCATATCTGGGTCTTGAGAAGAAGATTTTAAAAATTTTAGTCAATTTGCCCCTTTTTGGCCCCGCCCCTCAGGCCCCTGGGGGCTGGGGACCAAATAAGCCACTGTTTTTGTTCACCTTTGGCCATGGAAGGTTTCTGTAAAATTTCATTGAAATTGGTTCAGGGGTTTTGGCGAAGAAGTCGAAAATGTAAATTGTTTACGGACGGACGACGATGGACAAAAGGCGATCGCAATAGGTCACTTGAGACTTTGTCGTCTCAGGTGACCTAATAAAAGCATATAATATAACTTCTACTGACCATGAGTGTCCTCAGACAACAACAAACATGGTGCTTTGATGTTAACCTCGTACACCATCATTTTGAAACTTCCTGTTTCATTTTTTGATTGTGCTGCCTCTGCTCGTGTCATGAAGTCCAAACAAGTATTATAAAAACCTCTGTAAGCCCATATTATCTGTATATATTCTCGAATACTAATTACGAAACTTAATAAATTCATGCAAAACAAATGAATATATATAACAAAAAGTGTTGTTAAACAATAACCCATGAATTATCATGCGATAAAAGTCACCAACTTTGATATCTAGTGTAAATTGTACATAATGATAACTTTGGTTTTAACAGTAAATATATTACTGTGTCCTTAATACTGACACACAACACATCCTTAAATGACCTTAGCTGTTGATATCATGTTAAACTCTATACAACTAACCAACCAACCAACAAACAACCTTCAAGTGTAATCATCGTCAATATCCTAGAGATAATATTCTTTTAGTATAAAAGATAATAGATGATTTCTGCATGAACACCAACATTAACCTTTTGACCCAACACTGTCTTATCATTGATACTGTGCTTCTATTTTACTGGACCTACCAGTCTGCTGAGTTGATCAAATAAATCAATTTGTTTTCCTAATGAAAAGATCAAATACAAAGCTGATTAAAGAGTTATGAGAGGTTAGGGACGTGTTATGAGAGGTTAGGGACGTGTTATGAGATGTTAGGAACGAGTTATGAGAGGTTAGGGACGTGTTATGAGAGGTTAGGGACGTGTTATGAGAGGTTAGGGACGTGACCCAACAAACCTAACAAAGACCTGCTTTTACATTAATTTAGAAGTTGCCCCCTCTCTACATCAAAGACTGTACTGTAGGGCTCTGCTCTCAGTTTGATTTCTGTATGCCCCCTCTCTACATCAAAGACTGTACTGTAGGGCTCTGCTCTCCGTTTGATTTCTTTATGCCCCCTCTCTACATCAAAGACTGTACTGTAGGGCTCTGCTCTCAGTTTGATTTCTGTATGCCACCTCTCTAAATCTGAGACATCTGTGTGTTCCTATCTAATTCTGTGACTAATATAACCTATTACCAGTAACTGAGCGATATCAGGTTATCTCAGTCGGGGCTAAGATTCTGTAGCATAATCTCAAACGAGGCCGACTGCAATATCTCCTCTCTTGATCTGACCACTGTGTCTCCTCTCTAAATCTGAATAGTGTGTCTTCTTTCAAAATCTGACCACGAATTTGCCTCTCTAAATCTGACCACTATGTTGCCTCTCTAAATCTGACCACTATGTTGCCTCTGTAAATCTGACTACTGTGTGTATCCTCTTTAAATCTGATCACTGTGTCACCGCTCAAATTCTGACCACTATAATGTCTCTGTAAATGTGACGACTGTGTCACCTCTGTAAATGTGACGACTGTGTTACCTCTGTAAATGTGACGACTGTGTTACCTCTGTAAATGTGACTACTGTGTGACCTCTGTAAATGCGACGACTGTGTGACCTCTGTAAATGTGACGACTGTGTCACCTCTGTAAATGTGACTACTGTGTAACCTCTGTAAATGTGACGACTGTGTTACCTCTGTAAATGTGACGACTGTGTTACCTCTGTAAATGTGACGACTGTGTGACCTCTGTAAATGTGACGACTGTGTGACCTCTGTAAATGTGACTACTGTGTCACCTCTGTAAATGTGACTACTGTGTCACCTCTGTAAATGTGACTACTGTGTTACCTCTGTAAATGTGACTTCTGTGTTACCTCTGTAAATGTGACTACTGTGTTGTCTCTGTAAATGTGACGACTGTGTTACCTCTGTAAATGTTACTACTGTGTGACCTCTGTAAATGTGATGACTGTGTTACCTCTGTAAATGTGACTACTGTGTCACCTCTGTAAATGTGACTACTGTGTCACCTCTGTAAATGTGACTACTGTGTCACCTCTCTAGCTCTGAAATCTGTGTCTGTACAACATGTCCCCTTTCAAAGTCATTGACTACCGTATAGATATGCTTCTGAAAAGTATTTGTACACAAAGAAACTATGTACTTGATAAATACAAGATAACAGTTATCTCCCTCAGGGACTGACAATTTTTAACATATGTTAGTACAGAGGTAATGGATGATATCATGCTGTGCCTTTACTGAGTCCTTTCTTCTTGAACCACTCTTCACTTTTGTCAGCTGCTATACCCTGAAATTATAATTCACAGTTTCAGGACTTTACAGTGTCATAATAGATACAGTATTAGTAATTTATCAGTATGTATAGTATTGTTAAATCTTATCTATATAAATATAACAGCATGTCTGATTAGATTATACTGATCACATGACAGTGGAATATATTGTGTTGATATCATGTCATCTGGTCATATTTCCTTTATTTGGAGCCTCTCTAGAACAAGAGGCCCAGAGGGCCTGTATCGCTCACCTGAATATTTAGCAGTCATAGCAAAATATTCTCATTAAATATTTTACTGTACTACAAACATTTCCCCTCGCAAACTTTGCCGGCTCCATCTTTTGAAACTACCAGCCAAATATTGTTGTATGATTCTATGCTTTTTAGTTCTTCTTCAGAAGTTGTTTGACATATTTTTCCCTGTGACTTTGTTAGGCTGAAGGCTTCCTGGGATAGAGCCTGACAAAGTTTGAGAATGAAAATGACCTTGACCTACTTTCAAGGTCACAGGGGTTAAATGTGTCAAACACTTTGAAGTATTTGACACATTTGCCCCCTGTGACCCTGAAAGTAAGTCAAAGTCATTATCATTCCCAAACTGTGTCTGGCTCTATCCCAGGAAGCCACCAGCAAAATATGAAGATTCTATACCTTTGGGTTATTCAGAAGAAGTCATTTGAAGTGTTTGACACATTTAACCCCTGTGACCTTGAAAGAAGGTCAAGGTAATTTTCATTCTCAAACTTTGTCAGGCTCTATCCCAGGATGCCACCAGCCAAATATTAAGATTCTATACCTTTTACTCCTTCAGAGGATGTCGTTTGAAGAGTTGACATATTTGACCGCTGTGACCTTGAAAGTAGGTCAAAGTCATTATCATTCCCAAACTTTGTCTGGCTCTATCCCAGGAAGCCACCAGTCAAATATGAAGATTCTATACCTTTGGGGTTTTCAGAAGAAGTCGTTTGAAGTGTTTGACACATTTGACCTCTTTGTCGGGCTCCTACCAACGAAGTTTTCAGCTAAATATGATGACTCTAGGCCTGTTCGTTCTTCAGAAGACGTTGTTTAAAGGAAAAGTTGACGGACGATGATGGACGGACGACGGACGCCGCACCATGACATAAGCTCACTTGCCCTTTGGACAGAGGAGCTAAAAATGGGAAAGAGCCACCACACCTGCATTTGGATTGACTGAAGCAGACGACAACAATGGTGTGTCAACCTGACCATCGTAAATGCTGTGCTATTGTTTTATTTTGTTCTATTTATTTGTATAATAAAATATGTCTTTATTTCCCCTCAATTTGAATTTTCTCAGGGAACAAAGAATTCTATTTTTCTACAACACAGGCAGTAAATGTACAGTGTGACTGGAGACAGAACTTACCTGATCTAACAGTCCGTCGGCTTTATCATCCACCTGTGACAGCTCACGGAACGCTTCATCTCCAACGAAACATATCTCATGGCCATCCTAAGTAAAATATAATCATCTAGACATTACTGATACATAAATAAAGGTTCTGATGTATTTCTTCAAACAAAAGTAGTTTGTTGTTTGATGTTTTACTGTGAACAAAAGTTGAATTACAGAACACATTTTTTAAAACCTCTAGACCAAGTTACACAAAGTTTATAGCTTGTTTGTTTGTTTTTATGTCCTATAAAGATGTGCCTGGTTTTGGTGGTGGAGGAAAGTCAGAGTTGACGGAGAAAAACCACCGACCTGTGGCGAGTACCTGGCCTCAAACCTGCGACCCAGTGGTGGAGGGTTGTAGCGATCACGACAGTTAGACACTTAACCACTTGACCACCGCGGCCCCCTCACAAAGTCTAGTGATGATGAATGATTCATTAACATTAGACAAGATAAAATAATGACAAACAAAAGAATTATGTATTCAATTTTGATACTTACGGGGTCAGCCAGGATGACCACTTCTACAGTGGCCTTTCCGGGGGTGTCCAGACTAATAAGTGGGGTTAGAATGGTCTGTTCAGCCTCCTTCATCTTCCTCTCGATATCTGGCAACTGTAAGCAACAAGTGTACATTTCTAGTCAATACAGTTGTAAATTGTTATTACTCATTTTCTCTACATTTCACCTCAAAACGATCAAAAACTATAATAATTCCTGAAAACTTTTGTTAAGAAATCCAAAAGCTTGAAGAAACTTTTCAAGCATATTTATACAAAAGTCAGATGACTAATGACCTTTCACAACAAGTAATACAAACATTTAAACACTCACCTCTGTACGAGGGCAGGAAAAAGCGATCCGCCCGAAGGCGGTGGCATGGTCAACACTTGTGCCTATATCCTGAAGCTCAAGCTTGCACTGAAAACAATCACACACGAGATATCCTTAGGGCTTGTTGATTTACTTATTGGTTAATGACCTTTAATCACTTTTATATGAACGTTTTAAGGACGAAACAAAAACAATATATTGAAGTGAAATTTTACTAATCTGTGTCCTGAATAATTTTGATACTTATTGTAAACCGGTGTGTCCTACTGCAAAAGATAACATAATGTAGTCCAAGGGTGAGTCAGTTGATAAGTTTTCTATGTCACAATTGCAGGAAGTAAATATAAAATCATGCACCGTAAATATAAATACACTTACTATTAGTGTCAACAAGAAACAAACTGTCAATATCTAATGTGTCAAACTCATCATCTGATGTGTCAAACTGTCAATATATCATGTCAAATAGGCATTGTCGGTTATGTCAAACTGTCAATATCTTAATTGCTGTGTCTAATGTGTCTCCATGAATCAGATGGATATTTAAACAATCCTAATAAAAAGTTTCATCAAAAATATATATTTGATATCACAAATAAGACTCAGAGGTGGGGCTAGATCCCAGGGTTAATCCTAGTAAGATTATTGCATGTCTCTTTACATCCTGCAAGCACATATAATAATAATAATAATAATAATAAACTTTATTTATTGAGGATAAAATACATGTTTAGCCAAAGGCTAATCTTCCACATGGTCCTCTTGTTAGTAAAATATATGTGCTAGTTAAAAGTACATATATATTGATGCAATTGACATATATAAGGTTATATCACAGTTATCTTAGTTAAGAGTATCACAGAATGCATAAAGTTTCATGCAAAGGTATTAAATTGATGAATCAATATAATCATTAATGGCGACCTAAACTGTTCCTCAGTTATGATGCAAGGACTAACTGCATCTAACTGGAAAAATATCATAACCCTAGGCCTCTTGGGTATTCAGAGGAATTCGTTTAAAGGTTTTAAACATATTTGACCCCTGTCACTTTGAAAATGGGTGAAGGTCATTCGTCTGAACAAACTTGGTAGCCCTTCAGCTCAGCATGATACTGGTCGAATATCATAAACCTAGGCCTCTTGGGTATTCAGGAGAAGTTGTTTAAAGGTTTCAAACATATTTGACCCCTTTGACCTTGAAAATAGATGAAGGTCAATCATTTAAACAAACTTGATAGTCCTTCATCCCAGCATGCTACAGGTCCAATATCAGTACCCTGGGCCTTTTGGTTATTGAGAAGAAGTTGTTTGAAGATATTAAGACATTTGACCCCTGTGACCTTGAAAGTGGGTCAAGGTAATTCATTTTAACAAACTTTGTAGCCCTTCATCCCAGTTTGCTTCTGACCAAATATCATCACCCTAGGCCTTTTGGTTATTGAGAAGAAGTTGTTTAAAGTAAAATATTGACGCCAGACGCCGGATGGCCGCCGGCATAAACTCACTGGCCCTTCGGTAAGCTAACAAGTGAAGCTGCTGGGTTGATGTCAATAAACTGGTTGACAAACTATAAATACCGGTAGTAAAATCAACCTAGGCCTTTATTTTGGAATCCTGAACCCATTCAGGGATTCTTATATTCAGCCTTTGCAAAGAGTTTAAGCAAAATTTGTTAAGAAATGAAGTCACTAGAGTGCTGAGTGTGAATCAGGATGGAATGGTCAGGACATAGTTAACATGATATACCCCCCCCCCCCCATGGCAGGGCATGAACATTTTCGAGCTCCATTTACTTGGTGAATAAATTTAATTGACATGAGGACAGGCTTTCTATCATTATCAGTGATGTAGTTTAGTGTACAACATAGTTATCTAAGTTTTTTGTGACTACCTGATAGATAATTAGTCTAGTACAATCTAATTTAGGACAGGTATAACTGATAGCTACCCACTAGCATATAATCAGTATGCTAACTATACAGCAGGAAGCAAGGCTCACAATCCCTCAGTCCAATAACATAATGGCAGAGGGAGGGTCTAACCAGCTTGTTCATCAGTCAGTTGATAAACCCATCCCAGGTCGGGACGCTCAAGTGCCTGTCGATGTTACAAGCCGGTCAGCCCAGGAGCCTCTGAGGATCAGAGGACAGACAACATGTCCAAATCACCTGGACAATGAAATCCAGTATCTGTGTCAAGATTGTAACCAGCTAGCATGTGTGAAATGTGTTACCAGTGTTCATCAAAGCCACACTCTTGATGATTTTGAGAGAAAAGTTATTCCAAAGAAGGAGTTGGAAATTAAATGTTTCATAGATGAAGATAAACAAACTCTTGAAAAACTAAAAGCAGAAATAGATTCAGCCAACATCAAGAATGAATGGATTGCTTCGCACTTTGCTGAATGTCACCAGGAAATTGAAGAGAACAGTAAAGCCATAGCAATACTTATCAGCAAACAGCTAGAGAAGAAACAACAGGACCTGAAGCAGGTTCAGGATGAAAATAATGCCAAACTGATGAAATATATAGAAGGACTAATATGCAAACAATCAGAAATAGGCAACAGGATTGAGGAATATGAGAGAACCCTCAAAACTGGATCAAATATCCAGAAGTATGAGTTAGACATGGATCCAAACACTGGTGCTCCAGTAACCAAGCCTCTGCTGACTAATTTTGGCTTTGTCCCAACCCCTCAGGACAAGGCCTCAACTCTCTTAGAAGAGGCCAGTGGCCAATTGACAGAAACATCCAAAACCCAGGGTGACGAAATAGACAAAATTCCTAAACTGACATTCTGCTCCGAGACAAAAATTCTACAGGAGTTTGATGTACAAGACGTGAATTTTAAAGTTTGCAACATTTGTCCTGTTTCCGATGAGATGTCATGGGTGAGTTGTGTTAAAAGTTCAGCTGTCACCCAGGTCAATCACGCTGGTACGATTTTAAAGCAGGTCATGTTTGATGGACAAGTCAACGGAATCTGTGTCTCTCCCTCGACAGGATTACTCTGGGCATGCTCATCATTTGAATGTAGCATCTACAACGTCACCAGTGGTGGCAGACCATGTCCACTGTTCATGTCCAACACCATACCCTGGAGTCTTTGTGTAACTCAGGCTGACACTGTCGTCGTGGGAATGACAGGCAAGGTCAAAAGTTACACAGCTGATGGTAAGGAACTGTTCAGTCAGACCATAGGAGATGCTCAGAAAGCGACCAAGATAAGTGAATGTCCACTAACTCACAATCTGGCCATACTAACCTGCCACCTTCAGAAAGACCAGGCTTCCTTTATTTTGATAGTAAAAGAAAATCTTGAGGAACTCTTTCATTTTCAACCAGTGCTTGGTACCAGGAATGTTGTTCCAACAGATGTACGATACGACACGATGGGAAAATTGGTAGTAGCCATTGCAGGGCGGAACCAACTGCTGTACCTCGACGACATCGGCAAGTTCATCAAACTGCTGTATTCCTTTCAGCAGAAGTTCAATAGAGAGGCAGCCATAGGTCCCTACCTTGGCATTGACAAAGAAAATACTCTGTGGGCAGTGTTTTATCATGATCATCAACATGCCTGCCGGGTACAACAACTTAAGTACTGCAGACCGAAGAAACAAGAGTGCTCTATTAGTTAAGTACTGCAGACCGAAGAAACAAGAGTGCTCTATCAGTTGAAACGAGAGAGCTCTATCAGTTGAAACTAGAGCGCTCTATCAGTTAAGTACTGCAGACCGAAGAAACAAGAGTGCTCTATCAGTTAACTTTCTCAAGATTGCTCATATTTGTGGAAGAATTGTATTTTCTTCAAATGATAGACAGTTTATAGATTTGTCACATTATTATATCACACCTGTGTGACTATTCCATGGCAAATTGACTTTTACAGAAAGAAACCATGATTAGAAGCTTTTGTGATATTTTTGTGTGAGAGTGGAAGAAATACTGCATGCATCTATTTGGAAAACCTAGTGAAATTTGCATTTTAAAGATTGAAATACAAAAAAAACAAGGTGATCTATATTGATCCAGAATGACATAAAAATAACAGAATGAGGACGTACAATTATCATTTAGTTTAGTGCAAGAAAACAATTCCTGAGTGGATTTCTTCTAGAAAATAACGGGAAAAAAAACAAGCTAAGAGGAATGCAGATAGACTTTTGACCTTGAGAAGTGATGTGATACGTAGCTCACTGTGCATCTAACTTATCTAATGTTCATGTGACCAAATTGGACCTATGTTATACTTTTTCTGGGCTGTTATCCTGATGAGTATAATCTAATACATGTTAAAAACACTGAAACTTAAAATTTACTGTCTGTAGAGCTTCAAAACAATCACCTATGTACAGGAATCAAAATTGTTTGTAAACTTTTGATACATATTTTTTTGTCATTTTTTCTTGAAAACCTTGTTAATCTATGATGAACAACTGGGCTCTGAAATCCTTATCTAGCATGATTAGCGTGGACAAGCATCGACATCTGACCCGTCACTTTGACTTTAATTGTTGGGATAAGAACCTGTGTATGGTGCAATGACAGGTATAATCTTGTCAATCAAATACATATCATGAGGTTTCATAGGATCAGAGTGATTTGACTTTGTATTTGTAACTGTTCCTTACTGACTTGCATACTCATATTTTTCAACTTTTATCAAATAATATGGAATGATTCAGTAATTTGATTCCTGACAATAGCCGTGATTAATTAACCTCTCACAATACATTAACTTTGGGCTAATGGACAGATGTCGTCAGGTGGCACTCATCTTTCACCAAGACAGCTGAGGGTTTAATTCCATGATCAGACGTGAGAAGGTATGAGGTCACCTGTCTGACCAAGTGGGTTTTCCCCGGGTACCCGGTTTCCTCCTACATTAAGACCTCCCCCCCCATGCTAACATCCAGGCCAACAAGAGTGATTAATATAAGTTGAAATAACCTGTTTCATAATTGTTGTAAAATAAATAAAAATTATATTTTAATAAGTTAATTTAATTAAGATTATTTACCGATACAGTACCTATAAAGATCCTTTACATAGGACTCCAGTTCATAACACAGAAATATTTAACAATAGATGAATGTGGCATTATTTGGATCATTAACATATCTCATATCTATAATTATATACAAGTTCCTGACAATTGGCAAAGTAAAAAAGTTCATAAAATGTACTCTTATTCCCTGTCTTCCCATATCTTAATAAAATCTGTTGTACAATTATCGTAAAGATTGCTTGTTATTTGAAACACCTATATATTCCTAAGTGGATCCCGATATGATACATTCCTCAGTGGATCCCGATATGACACATTCCTCAGTCGATCCCAATATATTCCTCAGTCGATCCCGATATGATGCATTCCTCAGTCGATCCCGATATGATGCATTCCTCAGTCGATCCCGATATGATGCATTCCTCAGTCGATCCCGATATGATGCATTCCTCAGTCGATCCCGATATGATGCATTCCTCAGTCGATCCCGATATGATGATTGCTTGTTATTTGAAACACCTATATATTCCTAAGTGGACCCCGATATGATACATTCCTCAGTGGATCCCGATATAATACATTCCTCAGTCGATCCCGATAAGATACATTCCTCAGTCGATCCCGATATGATACATTCCTCTGCCGATCCCGATATGACACATTCCTCAGTCGATCCCGATATGATACATTCCTCAGTCGATCCCGATATGATACATTCCTCTGCCGATACCGATATGACACATTCCTCAGTCGATCCCAATATATTCCTCAGTCGATCCCGATATGATGCATTCCTCAGTCGATCCCGATATGATACATTCCTCAGTTGATCCCGATATGATACATTCCGAAATCCCGGTATCTGTTTGGTTGTTCCACTTGCACTGCCTCAATCATATCTATATGTTTGATTACGAATGGATGACAAACAGTATTTGCATATTCAAGATGAACTCTTACTGCAAACATAAAGTTAGCTTTAATTATCGTAAATATTGCTTGTTATTTGAAACACCTCAATCATGTCCCCTCTTATTCTTCTGTAGCTCAGAGTTGGTAATTTGAGTTTCCTAAGTTGATCCCGATATGATACATTCCTCAGTCGATCCCGATATGATACATTCTTCAGTCGATCCCGATATGATACATTCCTCAGTCGATCCCGATATATTCCTAAGTGGATCCCGATATGATACATTCCTCAGTCGATCCCGATATGATACATTCTTCAGTCGATCCCGATATGATACATTCCTCAGTCGATCCAGATATATTCCTAAGTGGATCCCGATATGATACATTCCTCAGTGGATCCCGATATGATACATTCCTCAGTCGATCCCGATATGATACGTTCCTCAGTCGATCCCGATATGATACATTCCTCCGTCGATCCCGATATGATACATTCTTCAGTCGATCCCGATATGATACATTCCTCAGTCGATTCCGATATGATACATTCCTCAGTCGATCCCGATAAGATACATTCATCAATCGATCCCGATATGATACATTCCTCTGCCGATCCCGATATGACACATTCCTCAGTCGATCCCAATATATTCCTCAGTCGATTCCGATATGATACATTCCTCAGTCGATCCCGATATGATACATTCCTCAGTCGATCCCGATATGATACATTCCTCAGTCGATCCCGATATGATACATTCCTCAGTCGATCCCGATATGATACATTCCTCAGTCGATCCCGATATGATACATTCCTCAGTCGATCCCGATATGATACATTCCTCAGCCGATCCCGATATGACACATTCCTCAGTCGATCCCAATATATTCCTCAGTCGATCCCGATATGATGCATTCCTCAGTCGATCCCGATATGATGCATTCCTCAGTCGATCCCGATATGATACATTCCTCAGTCGATCCCGATATGATACATTCCGAAATCCCGGTATCTGTTTGGTTGTTCCACTTGCACTGCCTCAATCATATCTATATGTTTGATTAAGAATGGATGACAAACAGTATTTGCATATTCAAGATGAACTCTTACTGCAAACATAAAGTTAGCTTTCTTTACTTGTGCACTTATTTGGTGTTCAAATGTGAGAAATCTGTCTGTTTGACTCCTATATCACTTGTTGTAAAGGTTCATTTTCTATATACATATGTAATATGTACTTTCTCCGCCTGATTGGCCTTGCCCTACATGCATAGATTTACACTTTGAAGAATGAAACTTTAATAACCATTTATCGCGCTATTTTGAAAGTTTGTTCAAGTCATCCTGCAAGTTATCCACATTGGCATCCCCACGTATACATGGCTACTCAAAATGTACGTTACTTTAGATCATTTTGAGTTTTCTCCATTCAATGATATGTGTAGCTATCTGTCAGGAATAAAACTGGACGTCCAGTTAACGATTTCGTCATTTATTCCATACAAGGACATTTGACTACAAGCCTAATGGACTAATGTCTGGGGACTACATAAGTAGGTAATGAACAGTCCTCAGAACCTAATGGACTAATGTCTGGGGACTATATATCTCTGCTGTAACATAAGTAGATAATGAACAGTCCTCAGAACCTAATGGACTAATGTCTGGGGACTATATATCTCTGCTGTAACATAAGTAGGTAATGAACAGTCCTCAGAACCTAATGGACTAATGTCTGGGGACTATATATCTCTGCTGTAACATAAGTAGATAATGAACAGTCCTCAGAACCTAATGGACTAATGTCTGGGGACTATATATCTCTGCTGTAACATAAGTAGATAATGAACAGTCCCTAGATCTTGTTAATCCCCGAATTGTTGATCAAGTTCATAAAAACTCTAATTCTCTATTTTAAAGCAGGACCTTCTTTGATGATGTATGTGTGAAATATCCATTTTTATACTTTGAATCATTAGAACAATATTTAAGGAGCAAGAAATGTCATTGAAACACATAGCTACCCATATTACTTTTAGGGTATATATGTATAAAAGAAAAAATATAAAAAATGAAGAAGGTTTTACATATCAACAGGCAGACAAGTTGTTGTGTCTATACAGTCAGAAACAGTGTAATACAGTGAAAACTGTCTTAACTGACATTCTATAATTTCCCAAGCAGGTCATTAAGTCTCTGACCCCCTGTATAATACAAGGTGTCTTTCACCAAGACAGCTAGGGCCCTTTTCCCCAATCGGACGTGAAAAGGTAGTGGGTCACCGTCCCAACCATGTAGGTTTTTTCCTATCACATATTACAATCCTTCGAGCGCCTCGATTACAATCCTTTGAGCGCCTCGATTCGGGCCAACAAGAGTGATTTAAATGTAAATTGGGAAAAGCTTGTTTCATAATTATTGTAAAATGATAAAGCTTTGTTTTTTAATCTGTCTAAACTGACACCCTGTACAATATAGTTACCAGTCTATATGGTATCTTGATTAGGTGGAGGAATATTTTCAACACAGTCCATTAACTACCCATATATAGACTGATGATGTGTTATTCCGATTTTTTTTTAATTCTAGACAGAAGTATTAATTCCAGTGGTGCAAGATTTAGACAGTAGACCTGTATTAAGATTTAATCCAATGACCAAATACGTTAATTTTTAGAAAGTCCATCTTATGAAATCTAAGGGTCCAGGGTTTGATTTTCAGCCTTTTCCAAATAATGATCAAAAACAGGTTTCAGACTGTATATAGAGTGATCAGTAATACAAGTAGGGGGGACTTCATCATAACATACTCCAGTGTTACCAATAAGAGGGTTTTGAAGGGTTTTATTTGGTCTACTGAGTTTTGCCTCTATCGCAGAGGTTTCATCAGGACAATATTTCAGTGAGAAAAGTCCCCTGAAGTACTCTTCAGGAGGATAAATTTTAACTATGGCGTCATATACATTAGTACAATGCCCTAAGGTAATACCAGATACCAGATACAAGAATTTTCATTTAATGTTGCATATCTGAAGTTTCAGTTTAAATGCATTGCAGGTTTATACCATTAAGGAAGTACTAGTAAAATGTCTGGAATCATATTCGGGAGGGCATCAGTTTCAGATTTAGAATAACATAGAGCAGCTAGGGCCTGTCATATATGTAGTGACAATTCAACAGGAATTTGCAGGAAGGATAATATAGACTATATGTCATAGATTTATTGCAAATACAATCTTGTGGCATCAGTAAGTATTGAATGGGGATAAAAGATGTATGCAAGTTAAAGATAGAGAAGGGCACCCAGGTTTATCGAATACAATAATTACATTTACAGGTAAACTGGGAAACTTTTGCCTAGTAAAATTTTCGCCATCAAACTTTTTCTAGTCACACCTTCTCTCCTTATACTTTATGTAGTCATACTTTCTCTAGTCACACTTTCTCTCCTCATACTTTCTGTAGTCATACTTTTCTCTAGTTATATTTTATCTCCTCATACTTTCTCTAGTCATACTTTCTCTCATCAAACTTTCTGTAGTCATACTTTTCTGTAGTCATACTTTCTCTAGTCATACTTTTTTCTAGTCATACTTTTTTCTAGTCATACCTTCTTTAGTCATACTTTTTTCTAGTCATACTTTCTCTAGTCATACTTTTTTCTCGTCATACTTTCTCTAGTCATACTTGTTCACAACATACTTTCTGTAGTCATACTTTTCTCAAGTCATACTTTTCTCTAGTCATATTTTCCATGCTTTTCTCTAGTCATACTTTCACCCTACGATGGTAAAGCCTGTATTGGCCTAGTGTTAATTTTGCCCTTCACATGTGATTGCTATGTTATTATGTTGTTTTCAAATGTTTGCTCTAATTCAATGGAGGGAAACACAGGCGAAAGTTAGGAAGCGGTATACTGTATTCAATTTAGAAAGCACTTAGTAACTTCAATTTGAACATACTTGCCAATCTTTTAAAATTTACATGGGGGAGATTCTGCAAGCTCAAAATTAAAACCTAAATAAAATGTGTGTGTTTATCCCCTAGAGACCAAATAACCCTTTAAAAGACACACTTTGAAATGCTAAATTTAAGGGTCCAAAATGGAGGGTCTCCCTCCTAAATAAGGAGATTTGGCAAGTATTGAAACGCCTTACCTGGTTATCCCCAAATCCCAAGAGTGCTGACTTGTCTTCCTGCCTGTAAATCTTCATACCACACAGTCGAGACCAGAAATCTAAAGTCAAAGTGTACACCTGAGGCCAGTAAATTGGTTAATTTGTTTACAGTCCAATTCCAATGTGTGAGATAAACCCAAAGATGTAGAGGTATCACAGTCATCGTGAAGCAGTTGTATTGTGATTATTGGCATTTGATTCAATATACAAAGCATTTTTTCCAGATTTTCAATATAAATCATGATTCAGTGATTAGTGTACAGTATGCCAGTTCAGCCAAACTCTAAGTGAAACACTCACTCTGATTGGTCTGTAGGAATAGAGAAACAATTTTCACAACACAGTCAGAGCAGACGGTCTATTACTGATGCTCTTGTAACCATAAATAAAATGTGAACATATTTTTAATTCTGTTTATTAATTACACTTAATACCAGTGAAATAAAAACTGTAAAAAAGAAATTGTAAACAAGAAACATTGGACAGACACAGACAAGTTGACTAATATTTGGCGAGTTCAATTAAAATAAAAATATATAAACAAAAGAACAGAAGCAACTCCAGAATGCAGGTTTCCATAAGTGAATTGATAATGATGTGCTGACTAGTTTCAGCTGACCGTGATCATCAGACCATAGCTGTTTGGTGACCGTGATCAGACCATAGCTGTTTGGTGACCGTCATCAGACCATAGCTGTTTGGTGATCGTCATCAGACCATAGCTGTTTGGTGACCGTCACCAGACCATAGCTGTTTGTTGACCGTCATCAGACCACAGCTGTTTGGTGACCGTCACCAGACCATAGCTGTTTGGTGACCGTCATCAGACCATAGCTGTTTGCTGACCCCTGCATTATGTTCTAACCAAAATGTTTGAAACTTACTCTTCTCATTTTATCAAAAGTGAATTGTAAGTAATTGCATTGTGGCACTATTATCGCAATGTTTATGGATACATGCGAAACTTGAATAAAGTGTATCATGACAGTTCTAAAAACATATACAATTTAGTAATAGCTGTCAAATTTCCCTAATTAGGAGGGAGACTCCCTCATTTTGACCAAAATTTACCAATCTCCCTCGAAACTCCCTCATTCACGTCCAAACTCACACAAACTCAAAATCTACATCCTGTGGTCAAATGATTTCCTAGTTACTGCAGGGTGTGTGTAATTATCATAAGAGGTGTGTTTGAATCAAATGAAAGCTTTTTGGTGTTATTTTGATACATAAACAGGGAAAGGTATTAAATTGAGCAAAGCAGTTTCAGTCCCATTTCACACACTTTCTAAATTTCAGAGGTTGACACTTATGATTTATTTGATCTCTCAAAGCTAGGAAGTTTATGATAAGATTGAATAATATTAAGATTAGGGGACCATACTAATTTGTTATGCTCACTTACCCACAGATTTTGACAGATCTGAACACCCTAAGCATACACTTTGCACTGGGTCTGAAACAAAAGAACATGCGACAAACACAGAATGTTAATATAATCAGAAATCAAGCAGTCTGTAATACTGGGTGGGTCTGTAATGAAGCATGTGTCTGGATATGTATGTATACTCTAGTCTGTAACTGGGTGGGTCTGTAATGAAGCATGTGTCTGGATATGTATGTATACTCTAGTCTATAATACTGGGTGGGTCTGTATGTGTCTGGATATGTATGTATACTCTAGTCTATAATACTGGGTGGGTCTGTAATGAAGCAGGTGTCTGGATATGTATGTATACTCTAGTCTATAATACTGGGTGGGTCTGTAATGAAGCATGTGTCTGGATATGTATGTATACTCTAGTCTATAATACTGGGTGGGTCTGTAATGAAGCATGTGTCTGGATATGTATGTATACTCTAGTCTATAATACTGGGTGGGTCTGTAATGAAGCATGTGTCTGGATATGTATGTATACTCTAGTCTATAATACTGGGTGGGTCTGTAATGAAGCATGTGTCTGGATATGTATGTATACTCTAGTCTATAATACTGGGTGGGTCTGTAATGAAGCATGTGTCTGGATATGTATGTATACTCTAGTCTATAATACTGGGTGGGTCTGTAATGAAGCATGTGTCTGGATATGTATGTATACTCTAGTCTATAATACTGGGTGGGTCTGTAATGAAGCATGTGTCTGGATATGTATGTATACTCTAGTCTATAATACTGGGTGGGTCTGTAATGAAGCATGTGTCTGGATATGTATGTATACTCTAGTCTATAATACTGGGTGGGTCTGTAATGAAGCATGTGTCTGGATATGTATGTATACTCTAGTCTGTAATACTGGGTGGGTCTGTAATGAAGCATGTGTCTGGATATGTATGTATACTCTAGTCTGTAATACTGGGTGGGTCTGTAATGAAGCATGTGTCTGGATATGTATGTATACTCTAGTCTGTAATACTGGGTGGGTCTGTAATGAAGCATGTGTCTGGATATGTATGTATACTCTAGTCTGTAATACTGGGTGGGTCTGTAATGAAGCATGTGTCTGGATATGTATGTATACTCTAGTCTGTAATACTGGGTGGGTCTGTAATGAAGCATGTGTCTGGATATGTATGTATACTCTAGTCTGTAATACTGGGTGGGTCTGTAATGAAGCATGTGTCTGGATATGTATGTATACTCTAGTCTGTAATACTGGGTGGGTCTGTAATGAAGCATGTGTCTGGATATGTATGTATACTCTAGTCTGTAATACTGGGTGGGTCTGTAATGAAGCATGTGTCTGGATATGTATGTATACTCTAGTCTGTAATACTGGGTGGGTCTGTAATGAAGCATGTGTCTGGATATGTATGTATACTCTAGTCTGTAATACTGGGTGGGTCTGTAATGAAGCATGTGTCTGGATATGTATGTATACTCTAGTCTGTAATACTGGGTGGGTCTGTAATGAAGCATGTGTCTGGATATGTATGTATACTCTAGTCTGTAATACTGGGTGGGTCTGTAATGAAGCATGTGTCTGGATATGTATGTATACTCTAGTCTGTAATACTGGGTGGGTCTGTAATGAAGCATGTGTCTGGATATGTATGTATACTCTAGTCTGTAATACTGGGTGGGTCTGTAATGAAGCATGTGTCTGGATATGTATGTATACTCTAGTCTGTAATACTGGGTGGGTCTGTAATGAAGCATGTGTCTGGATATGTATGTATACTCTAGTCTGTAATACTGGGTGGGTCTGTAATGAAGCATGTGTCTGGATATGTATGTATACTCTAGTCTGTAATACTGGGTGGGTCTGTAATGAAGCATGTGTCTGGATATGTATGTATACTCTAGTCTGTAATACTGGGTGGGTCTGTAATGAAGCATGTGTCTGGATATGTATGTATACTCTAGTCTGTAATACTGGGTGGGTCTGTAATGAAGCATGTGTCTGGATATGTATGTATACTCTAGTCTGTAATACTGGGTGGGTCTGTAATGAAGCAGGTGTCTGGATATGTATGTATACTCTGGTCTATAATACTGGGTGGGTCTGTAATGAAGCATGCATCTGGATATGTATGTATACTCTAGTCTATAATACTGGGTGGGTCTGTAATGAAACATGCATCTGGATATGTTTGTATACTCTAGTCTAAAATACTGGGTGGGTCTGTAATGAAGCATGCGTCTGGATATGTATGTATACGCTAGTCTATAATACTGGGTGGGTCTGTAATGAAACATGCATCTGGATATGTTTGTATACTCTGGTCTAAAATACTGGGTGGGTCTGTAATGAAGCATGCGTCTGGATATGTATGTATACTCCAGTCTAAAATACTGGGTGGGTCTGTATATGTCTGGATATGTATGTATATGAATGTATACTCTGGTCTATAATACTGGGTGGGTCTGGAATGAAGCATGTGTCTGGATATGTATGTATACTCAAGTCTGTAATACTGGGTGGGTCTGTAATGAAGCATGTGTCTGGATATGTATGTATACTCTTGTCTGTAATACTGGGTGGGTCTGTATATGTCCGGATATGTATGTATACTCTAGTCTGTAATACTGGGTGGGTCTGTAATGAAGCAGGCGTCTGGATATGTATGTATACGCTAGTCTATAATACTGGGTGGGTCTGTATATGTCTGGATATGTATGTATACTCTAGTCTCTAATACTGGGTGGGTCTGTTATGAAGCATGCGTCTGGATATCTATGTATACTCTAGTCAGTAATACTGGGTGGGGCTGTAATGAAGCATGCGTCTGGATATCTATGTATACTCTAGTATGTAATACTGGGTGGCTCTGTAATAAAGCATGAGTCTGGATATGTATGAATACGCTAGTCTATATGTATGTATACTCTAGTCTATAATACTGGGTGGGTCTGTAATAAAGCATGTGTCTGGATATGTATGCATACTCTAGTCTGTAATACTGGGTGGGTCTGTGATGAAGCATGTGTCTGGATATGTATGTATACTCTAGTCTGTAATACTGGGTGGGTTTGTAATGAAGAATGTGTCTGGATATGTATGTATACTCTAGTCTATAATACTGGGTGGGTCTGTAATGAAGCATGTGTCTGGATAGGTATGTATACTCTAGTCTGTAATACTGGGTGGGTCTGTAATTAAGCATGTGTCTGGATATGTATGTATACTCTAGTCTATAATACTGAATCTGTAATGGAGACTATTAACATTTGAGAAACACAAATATTTTCATAAAATCAGAAATCTAGAAGTTTCCAATACTGGGACTGTAACAAAGAATATCCGACAAACTCTTACACTGATTGTGTATATTCCAGTCTTTACTACTGAATCTAAGTCCCTGATCACCACCAGATATACATCATTATCAAAAGTGGACCATAGAGCCAAAACTGGGTGTAGTGGCCCGGGGCACAAGACCAAATATCAGTATGCAACACGCTGCCATCTCAAAGAGATACTCGCATGCAAAACTGTCGGTGACAGCTCGCGTCAATGTATAAGGGCTATAACTCTGTAGAGGAGCACATGACCTGGTCTCAGTATGGGACACTCTGCCATAGAGATACTTGCATGCAAAACTTGGAAATAGTCGGTGACAGCTCGCGTCAATGTATAAGGGTTAGAACTCTGTAGAGGAGCGCATGACCTGGTTTCGGTATGGGACACTCTGCCATAGAGATACTTGCATGCAAAACTTGGAAACAGTAGGTGACAGGTTACATACAATGTATAAGGGTTATTCCCTTGTCCTGAACAATGTAATGATCAGTGAACAAAGAGGTATAACTCTGTAGTGGAGCACATGACTTGGTTTTAGTATGAGACACTCGACCATTAGGTTATCACATACAAAATTTAATAATTACCTGTGACAAGAATATACGGTATATACCCTGGACAAAGTTACGCATAGTGAACAAAGGGCCACAACTCTGTCTATAGCGAGGCACAAGATCTAATTTCAGTATGTGACATTCTGTCATCCAAAGAGGTCCTCACATACAAAATTTAATAATTACCTGTGACAAGAATAAACGATATATACCCTGGACAAAGTGATGCAGTGAACAAAGGGCCACAACTCTGTCTATAGCGAGGCACAAGATCTAATTTCAGTATGTGACATTCTGTCATCCAAAGAGGTCCTCACATACAAAATTTAATAATTACCTGTGACAGGAATATACTATATATACCCTGGACAAAGTTACGCATAGTGAACAAAAGGCCACAACTCTGTCTATATAAATAGTGGGGTACAAGATTTAATTTCATTATGTGACTATGCATTCTGTCATCAGAAGAGGTACTAACAAACAAAATTTGATAATCAGAGGTGACAGAGATATATGAGATATGCCCTGGACAAAATGACACACAGACGGATTGACAGATGGATGGAATTGCAGGGGTGACAGGTAACACATACCTCCTTGACATTCTTTGTCCTCCAAAACAAAGCTGTATCCATCAGGAGATTTCACCACTCGTTTGCCTCCATCCTCTATCACAGCAAGACCACAATTAACCGCTTTCTTGAAAGCTTCTTTAGAATAAATATTGATCCCCTGAAAATATTTTCAAAACCTGATTATCACATTTTTGAAAACAAATTGTAACTTATGTGCCATTTCACTTAAAAACAAGCAGTCTTCTTTATTTTTCAGGTTTAAAACGTAACAATATATATGGCAATAAATGTTTTACCTATGACCATTGTCATTGTTAACAGCAAAGCTGTAGCAGTGTACTTACTCTAAAATCGGTTCCCAGTCTGTATGTACCGATGCCATAGTTATAAGTCAGCTCTACAACAAAGTGGTTGTCCTCTGGGCCATACCCAACCATTGACTTACTCCACTTGCCGTCATATGGTCTACAATACACAGAATGTCCGTCTCAAACACTTTTAACTTTTTATGGAGTTCTAAGTTATTTCAGAGATGCCACAATCTAATTAAAGCAATTTGGGATATCTCTAATAATGATAAGAAATATGAAAGTCAGTTTTGTTTGTTAAGGGTTTCCCTTAGCTAGATTTTCTTCTCATACATTTATGACAGCAAAATTATTATACAGTAAAACCTTGTTATACTGCCACCATTTGTCCAGAGAAATTTTGGCGTTTTAAATGGTTTTAGCGATAAATCAAAGGAAGTTTATAAAGGAATTCTCAAGAGAATAAGAAAATTTGGACCTTGAAATGTATTGGCAGTAAATAAGGTGGCAAATGAAATGAATGGCAAATCTGTAATTTTCTCTTCCAAATTTTCCTTTAAGAGGTTTTACAAAAATATCACAGGAACATAAACATCTCAAGTGCACATTGATGTTCAACAAGCAACTTCCTACATACACATCTCGGAGCTGTTCACCAAAGCATTTTGTTAACAAGAGCCCCAAAGGGCCAATATTGCTCACCTTCATATTTAAGCAATCATGGTAAAATCTTGTTTGAAAAAAAACAACGTAATTTCATTTTTAACAAGAAGTTCAGAGGGTCTGTATTGCTCACCTAGATATTTTAGCGGTCATGGTAAAATACTGATTTTTTTTTTTAAATACGGTGTATATTTTGCAAATATTTTCCCAATATCTGGTTTTACCTTTAATTATACCTAATCCAGGGAACCAACACTTTCCACTTAACAACATTTCATTCCCTGGTCTCAAGACTGCCTAAATTTGAATCAGCTGTAAAATAATAACATCATTTACTTTTAAACAATTATGAATGAAATAAATTTTATCAACTCATATTAATACTCTTGTTGGTCTGAATGGATGTCCAATGCTCTTAATGTGCTTTCCATTGTCTGTCCACCTGATGAACCATTCAGGACAACAATGCTTTAAATTATATGTTCTTTAATGCCAAAATTAACTTCCTATTGAACCAAGTCTACAGGGGAGCCACGTTCTACACAAGAACTGATTTCATAATACGACCAAGGAACGGTTCATCCTCACGGGCTGCCAGGTCCCAGATCCACCCCGATACTATTACTGTGTTTTTTTTTACTTTATTCTCAGCAATTGTCTCATACAGTTAGGAGCTTGGGATCTTCACAATTTCTATGTAATGATCCAAGGTTTAGCTCCAGGGGCAGTGGCTGGACCCCCGGCCAAACCCTGTTGACATATGTTATATTATCTTTTGATGCCCAGCGAAAGTATACCTAGTTAACAAGAGGCCCAGAAGGCCTGTATCACTCACCTGGATAATAAAGCAACCATTGGAAATTATTCTTATTACATAAAATCCCTCCAATGGTACAGAAGAAGAAGGATTTTAAAGATTTAAACATCAAATTTCCCTATTGGGGCCCGCAACTCTCAGCACTCAGAAGGGCCAAACCTACCACTTATGCAAAATTGACTCCCCTGTTTGGCCAAAGGATGCTCCAGACCTAATTGGGATAAAATTACTTAATCCTTATGGTAGAAAAATTTCAAAGGTTTTTACCTCTATTTCTCCTTTTGGGCCCCACCCCTCTGCCCCCAGGGTGACCACACCCACTGTTTATACAAAAATGAGTCCCCTTTGCCAAAGGATGCTCCAGGCTAAATTGAGATGAAAGCCCTTTCCCTATGGTAGAAGAAAGATTTCAAAGATTGCTATCTCTATTTCCCCTATTGGGCCCCACAAATCTGCCCCCAGAGGGTCAAAACCCACAATTTATACAAAATTGAGTCCCCTTGGCCCAAGCATGTTCCAGACAAAATTGGGATGAAATCCCTATGGTAGAAGTAGGATTTTAAAGATTTTACCTCTATTTCTCCTTTTGGGCCCCATTCCGTTGCCCCCAGGGTGACCACACCCACTGTTTATACAAAATTGAGTCCCCTTTGCCAAAGAATGCTCCAGGCTAAATTGAGATGAAATCCCTTAATCCCTATGGTAGAAGAAAGATTTCAAAGGTTGCTATCTCTATTTCCCCTATTGGGCCCCACAAATCTGCCCCCAGAGGGTCAAAACCCACAATTTATACAAAATTGAGTCCCCTTGGCCCAAGCATGCTCCAGACAAAATTGGGATGAAATCCCTATGGTAGAAGTAGGATTTTGAAGATTTTACCTCTATTTCCCCTATTGGGCCCCATTCCGTTGCCCCCAGGGTGACCACACCCACTGTTTATACAAAATTGAGTCCCCTTTGTCAAAGGATGCTCCAGGCTAAATTGAGATGAAATCCCTTAATCCCTATGGTAGAAGAAAGATTTCAAAGGTTGCTATCTCTATTTCCCCTATTGGGCCCCACAAATCTGCCCCCAGGGGGTCCAAACCCACCGTTTACACAAAATTGAGTCCCCTTGGCCCAAGCATGCACCAGACAAAGTTGGGATGAAATCCCTTAATCACTATGGTAGAAGTAGGATTTCGAATGTTTTACCTCTATTTCCCCTATTGGGCCCCATTCATCTGCCCCCAGGGGAAACACACCCACCGTTTATAAAAAAAAATGAGTCCCCTTGACCTAAGGATGCTCCAGACCGAATTCAGTCAAAACCTACTGGGCTGTTCAGGACAAGTAGTGTTTTAAATGAAAAGTTAACGAACGGACGATGGAATGCGAATGCTGCTCCATGCCATAAGCTCACTTGCCCTTCGGGCAGGTGAACTTAAAACCATATCCATTTCTATAATAGGTCCAATGGACTAAGCCCTGGGAAAGGGCTTGGGTGGTCGGGTGGCTCAGCTGATAGCGCACTTGCTTTTCACCGAGGTGGTCGGGGTTCGATTCCCGATTGGACATGAAAAGGTATGGGGTCACCTGCACGACCATGTGGGTTTTCTTCGGGTACATCGGTTTCCTCCAACAGTAAGATCCCCTGCGCGCTTATATCTGGGCCAACAAGTGTGATTTAGTATTAGTTGTAAAAACTTGTTTCATTTACATTTACATTACGAACGTCGTAGTTACCAATAATGGCATGACATGACGGGAGAAAGAGAATATGTTACTTATCTTGGGTGTTCTTTGAAAGGGCTGATCTAAATCCCTCTACGCTTTCTGCGCACATTACTATATCATCCAGTTGGTTCCACTCAAGCGGTGTTTTGATGAAGAAGGAGATCTTGTATGCTTCCTTCCTGGGATGATTAATGGCCTTGAGTTGTTGACAATGTTCCTGTTTAATGTTGCTGATGTTTCATAGTTCACATAACGCTTTGTGTTTGTTTTTCGTGTCCTTCCAGAGCGCTGGATTATCTGATCTGGGGGTAGGGCTGGTATTATCCCCTCAACTACTTTGTACATGAATACTAGCCGCTGTGATTTCCTTCTGATTTATAAGGTTGGTAGTTTTAGGTGTTGTAGCATTTCTGCGACACATCCTACATCCCGACTGTTGTAATTTCCAGTAATTAGGCGAGCTGCTCTCCTTTGTATTCTCTCTAGTTTTTCAAAGTCTGATTTTAGATGAGGGTCCCAAATAACACTGCCATAGTCCAGGATTGTTCTAACAAGTGATATATATGCTGTTTTCTTACACTCTTTTGGGCAGTGTTTTAAATTTCTTCTCAAAAAGCCTAAAGTTGAGCTCGCTTTCCTGGCAATGTTGCTTATATGAGTAATCCATTTGAGATCGTTTGATATCTGGAGTCCAAGGTATGGATTGTTTTGTACCTCTTCCAAAATGTGGTTATTCAGACTATAGAATTTTGATGACTTTTTCCTGATTGACATGATGTAGCATTTTTTGGCATTAAATTTCATGCCCCATTTATCTGCCCATTCTTCAAGGTTTTGTAGGTCATTTTGGAGGATGTTATGGTCATTGAATGTTCTGATTTATCAATACAAAAGGCAGTCGTCGGTGAAAAGGCGTACTTGTGATTTGACCGAGTCTGGCAGGTCATTTATGTGGCAGAAGAAAAGGAATGGTCCTAGTACCGTCCCTTGAGGTGCTCCAGAGACGACGTGTTTCTCCTGTGACGTTGTGCCTTTAAATACAACCTTCATTTTCCTATGTGTTAGCTATAGGAATGACGTCAGCCAGTTGTGCACTTGCCCTCGCACGCCGTACTGCGCAACTTTATTTAAGAATTTCTTGTGTGGCACAGTGTCAAATGCTTTGGAGAAGTATAGTATTGCTACAACCAACTGGTTCCCAATGTCGTGTGCTTTTAAGAAATCATTTATAGTCAAGAGTAATTGTGTCTCACAGGAATAACCAGACCTGAAGCTGTGATTTAGATTGGTGAGTACTTTATGTTTTTCAAGATGTTTTAGCATGTGTCGACAGATGATGTGTTCCAGAAGTTTGCAGGGGGCTGATGTTAGTGACACTGGGCGATAGTTTTCCACAGAGTGTTTGTCTCCCTTTTTAAATAGGCATGAGATGTTGGCATGTCTCCAGTCTGCTGGAAGTTCTCCCGAGTCTAGTGATTTTTGAAATATTTTTGTGAGTCCTAATGATATTTCTGTCGCGCATTCTTTGAGGATTCTGTTTGGTATTCCATCTGGTCCTGAAGCTTTTGATATGTTTAAGTTCCTGAGTAGTTTTGAAACACCATTTGTATCTACGTATAGTTTCGGAATTTTTCCTGTACAAGTTTTGTTGTTTCTGGTATGTTACTGTCTTTGTTGATGGTGAATACCGATTTAAATTGTTGGACTAATATATCCGCCTTTGATTGACTGTCACTGATGAGAGAACCTTTGCTTTTTAGGGGGGCTACTCCTATTGAGTCTAGCTTTTTTGATTTGATGTATTTCCAAAACAGTTTGTTGTTGTTATTTTCGAGACCTTTTAGAATGTTGGTGTTAATGTACTCCCATTCTGCTCTCCTGTGGTTTCTTTTGCATTCCCTTTGATGGTGTCTATAGTTCTTCCAATTATTAGTTATTTTGGCCTGTTGGTAAAGCTTTTCTTTTTTTCTAATCATTTTCCGTTCTTTAGATTTCATCCATGGTCGTTTGTTTCGTGTTCGTGCAACTTTTGATGCTATGTGGGTATCCATAGCATTACGCAAGTCCTCCTTAAATGTTCTCCAGAGGTCATTGACATTTACATAATTTTGGTAAATATGAGGTCTAGCATGTTGTTTACACGTGTTGGTTGGTCATGTATTTGTGTCAGATGTGCTCCTGTTGTTATGTTGATAAGTAGGTTTGGTGTTTCTTTGTCCTGTCCACTCTGGTTTACAGTCATGTTGTTCGTGCAAATGGCATGGCAGTTGAAATCGCCAGCCAATATTACATTTTTACTTTTTGAGTCCAAAATCTTTTTCAGTCCTTTATCCAGTTCCATTAAGTCTATATTGTTTCTATGCGGCATGTAAAAGGAACCTATAATGAGGTCCTTGTTTCCCCGAAGCTTGATTTTCACATATTCTACTTCACAGTCTGTAATATATTCTGGTTGTTCAACTGATGTTATGTTTTTTTTCACTAGAATGAATACACCTCCTCCTAGGGTTCCTCTGTCATTTCTGTATACGTCATATTCGGATGGAAATATTTCGCTAGATTTAATAGCGTCTTTTGTTGGATTGAGTCCTGGTTTAATTCCTTTCAGCCATGATTCTGTCCCACATACAATGACTGGTTTGATGTATTCTAGTGCAGCTTCCAGTTCTTGTTTTTTTTATCCGTAATGCTTTGACAATTTACAGTGAGGATTCTGAGGTTACCTTTTTCAGGCAGGTGGAAGATTGAACTTTCATTATTATGTACAAATTTTGGTGTTCCTGATGATTTCATACTGCTGTTATTTGTTATCCGTTTTCGGCTACTCGTTTTTTGTGGGCTTAATGCACTTGCAGATGATACACTCTCTAATATTGTGTTTAGTTCTGATAGTGGTTCGTAGTAGTTGGTACTATTGAGTTCATAACTGTGAAAAGTGAATGAGGTTACATTCAGGCTGTCGCATTTGCAGCAGTACCATTGGACATTTGATCTCTGGAGTAACTCGTAGTCTTTACTGCTGAGTTCAATGCATGATTTGTGGTGCCAGATACTGAACTCGTCACAGCAGACTCCTTGGTTTGACCATGTCACTGGAGTTTCACATAAACCGCATGGGTAGACCGGTGTTTGTTTTGGACCTGGGCTAAATTCTATATCGTCAGCAGTTAACATTAATAGTATCAGAAGAGATCTATTTCTTATGTTTTTTTGAAAGGGGTAGGGTTATTGGTCGCCTTCCCCATGATGACATTCTGTTATTAAGAAGATTGTGGAGCATATAGTTGTGTTCCTCAGTCTGTGGTGATGCATTCTGAACATATCCAACAAGTAGTAATATGGAAAAGGCAAGGACAAGCATTATGTCGGTCTAGCGAGGAAAACCCCTTACTTACCAACAACTGCCTATAGACAGTATAGCGCAGAAAAACCCACACTGACTGACCATGCACTTACCATACTTTTCACTCCAGCAGTCTCTGATGGCTTGTTCAGATATTTTCATCAACCAGGCCCAAGCTAGTAGTTTCCCTGGGTGTATTCCGTCGCTGTAGAGGTTGAAATTGTGATGTTTCCTAGTTTTCTGAGTTCTGTTTTTTCCGCACTTGTATTTGGATGATACACTCAGGTCTATAGAGAACTCAGGCGAGTGTGTTGCATTTGTGTCGTTTATTGTCATGATCTGTCTGTTGAGTTCATAAATGTGTCCTGCGAGTTCAATGTCTTGTTCTTGTGTCCTCTGCTTTCGTTCCACTTTTCGATAGAATAAGTTGGTATCTCTAGGATCGTCACTTTAGACCCGGGGTACTGTTCCACTGTTGTTGTAATTTCACAGTAGATTGACACAATCTTATTAATTTCCTCCTCAGTGTTTGGGGTTAGCGACACAAACTGGTTTTTTTTGCTGGTTATAGGTTACACGTGCCAAGCAAAACATATAGCCAGATGTTACTGTGTCTCTCGATCTTTTTGGAGATGGATGTCAGCCACTTTAAACTGTCCTCAACTTTCGCACCAGTTTTATTCCACCAGGTGAGTTCCTTTTCGTTGGAATGTAGCGTCTCTCGTTCTAGATATTTACCTTTACTGTCCGTCAAGATCACTGGTGTTCGTGATCTGTTACCTTTCTGTTAGGATTCTTTGCCTTGCAAGAAATTTTCTGATCTTGTTCTCGCTCATATCACGTACTGTCACTAATGTAAACAATCGCCGAAATATGGTAGGTGATGAGTGTTGACAAAACAGTGTTTGATCGAAGTACAGGAGATCAGGTACTAGTCAAGACTGAATATTACGATATTCCTCTAAAGTGTAGTCTAGAGAAGCCGTTAATATAAAATTTTTGTAGAATTTTTCAAATAAACGCTAGGAAATATGCGTTTTGTTGGGTGATGATTCTCACACTTCGAAATTTCGGTCCTAAACCTTGCGCATGCGCACTCTCTCCCTCCTTGTTGCAAATTAAATAAAGTTTATCATATTAAGGGCTTGACCCTGCCAGGGCCTGTGAATTTTAATCCTGGAATCATGGACATGCTTTTAGATTTTTTTCAAGTTTTATAGCAATTCCCAATTATTTCTCCTCTGTTAAATCCCCAGTCAGTGGGCCAGGGGATGCAACGTACGTGACATACGTTATTAAACGTGTCGTCTGAATTTATTAAAGAAATTATCGCCTTTCCCTCTATATAGGTATATTAGGTACTACTATTATCAATACAGACTTAGTTAACGATAATCTAATTCCGTGCTATTACCCATTACATGCAGCTTCACATCCTTTCTCAAATTCTTCATGTCTCAGAAACTGAAAAATATAAAAGAACTGTATTATGAAAATGGTTTGTAACATTAATGACATCACATATGAGATAAAAATCCTTAAAATCCATGATTATATTGTTCACATTATCATACAACCACTTAGAGCAGCTTATAATATTCAACCAACTTAGCTTACTTTCATGCCTAGGACATCTCTATAGAATCTAGCAGTTTCTGTCCTGTTTCCAACTTTGAAGACAAAATGAAGCGCCCTTCTTGTAGACATATTTTAGATTCTTGTTGTGGGTTGTGTGTGATAAAATAGAACTGTCAATATTTGCGGAAAGTTAACAGCAGTTGTCTTGATCAGGTAAACGTTTTGGATGGATTTGTGAAATTAAGCACTTTGATAACATTGCTCACGTATTTCAAGATGGCTGCCTTCATGAGCACATGTGGACGTGAATTGACTTTGCTGTCAAGAACGAAAACATTGTATGCCAGCGTCATTAACAAACAATTCAGAGGATACGCCAGAAGGTATAACAGGACTCCTGTTCATGTCCTTACTGCAGATGAGGAAAAACGTGAATTCATTGACAAAAAAGTGGCATTTAGAGATAGAATTCGTGACTTCGATAGACGGGATCCAGTGCTTAGTAATCTTACTCAGTCTAAAGACCTAGATCGTTTGAAGTCACTCCCAAAAATAAGAAAACCAGCATTAGATATGGATGTGTTTCAAGATTGGGAGAACAATCGAAAACCCAAGAGATATACAAATGACAAAAAAGAATTCAATAATCCAAATAATGCTGAACGGAGAAATGACTCAAAGAGGAGTAGCTTTACAAAAGATAAGGCCATGCCTGAATACGGAGATAAAGTAAGAAATGAAAAGGGACAAGCCAAGAATAAAGAGAATAAAAAAGATAAACGATCAGCCAACACAAGTGCCGCGAACAAACGACAACCAGTCGAACAACGAACAATGTCTGGTGTGAAGTATACGATTCTTGGATCAGAAGACAAGAAAGTTGGGTAAGAAATGTTCAGTCAGAAGGAACGGTTTCAATTCAAAATCAAATCAAAATCAGAAGTTTTATTTAACGTCGGTATGGTTAAAAACAATACAACATTAGCTCTAATAAGCTAATATGACTCAGACATGGCCTGGAGAGAGCGAAGCTCGTACATTTGTTTCAATAGTGTAGTATAATTTTGGAATCATAACATTTAATACCCATTTTAATTCATACAAAATGTACCTATAATTGTTTTTCATTATTATATACTTGAATCTGTTGCTGGGAAAAATCATTCATCCTTGTACTTATGTGTGCTCTGTTTTAGAATGATCCACATTCACACTACACCAATATGACGCATAACATATTAGTTTGAAGTTGACTGAGTGTACTACAGTACTACTAGACCCGAGGGTTGAGATTCCCCTATCTCACCCACAAGGGGGTGAATGATTCTTTTTCTCTTACCCTGTTCTACCATTGTGTATACACAATGTAATGATAACGTTACATGCTAAATTCAGGGTTGACGTGACATTGATGGATTGTTGACGTGACGTCATTGTATTGTTGAAGTGATGTCATGCCAATGTTATGAAAAGGGGAATCCCCCCGTCACAACCCTAGGGTGAGACAAGGAAATCTCACACCGGTAAAAGTGCGGATACACCTGTCCAGGGTAAGAGAAAAGGAAATCTCACACCGATAAAAGTAAGGATAAATCTGTCCAGGGTAAGAGAATGGCACATCTCCCACCACTATAAGTATAAAATGAAGATTTTAGATTTTTCTTTTTAATAATTCAGATAATCCATGTGAAATATCATGAAATTTAATGTTTGTACTGATGATGTAGGTTAAAAATTCCAGGTATCTACAGCAGGACATTCCTCCTCTTCATCGTCACTGTTGTCATAAAGTTTTTGTAGATACCTAGGGATAGATTGGCATATCAGCTAAAACCATTACTTTGCAAGTGAAGTTTCAGTGATGATTGTGTTGGTGGCATTGATGGTCAGTTTCATGATGGACTTGTTGTTCTTGGTTGTCTGTTTATTTGTGATTTTAAATACTTCTATTGTGTCTGATTAAATAAATTTTAAAGCCCTTTCTTGGATTTTTTCCATTTTTTGTGTGTTTGTCTCACCGCAAAAGTGCCATGTAAGTGGACAGAAATTAAAATTTGAGAGAATAAATGAATGGTATATTGTAAGTTTGCCTAATCTGTTTAGGTGTTTTCCTTTGCGTTTGAGTGAGTTAAGCTGTCTAGATGCTTTTTTGCAGATGTTGGATACGTGTGTATGGAAGTTTAACTGGAAGTCTATGGTGACCCCTAGTAATTTTACTTCTGGTTCACATTTAATGTGTTGTTGCCTATGTTGAAAGTAATTGTGGGTGATTATGATGGCAGAAGAAAGGTTTGGAGATGCTTTACCTTCTATTGACCTGTCCCCCCATTAAAGAAAACAAAATAATGATTTAAAAAACCCATTAGAAACTGTAGCAAGACTACTACTGGCAATGATAACCTTCAAGGTGTCAGGGGTAAATATTGTATGCCTGCCCCGGCCCGACCCAGACTAAAAACCTGATCTGGTGTAGCATGGTGAAATGAACTGCGGTTCATACTACCAAGTCTATCTATCTATATGTTATACTCCACAGAGACCAAAATGGCTTTAATGCGGAAGGGGTTGAGTACGCATGCAATACTTAGCTTCGTTTAATCCCAGTTGGTAGGGATTGATGCTTTAAATGCCTCTATTCTTTGTGCCCCGACTGTGATGTCGTCCAGGTGGTTCCAATCTGTGGCTGTTCGCACAAAGAATGAGTTTCTGTATTGTTCCGTGTTGCTGTTGGGTATTATGACTGCTCTGTTATTGTTCCTGATTGAATTTGGAATTGGTCTTGATGTCTCGCAGTCCTGGAATATACGTTGTCATGTTTTCCTTTTTCACGTTGGAAATTAATAAAGTCTTTGCTAGGCATTGATGTAATTTGCTCCATGAACTGCCCCATGGTGAAATGAAGGGTTCAATCGATTTCTGTTCTGACAAACTTTTTTCCGTTCATTTTCTATAAGTTTACTTCATATTGATGTTTTCTATCTGAAAATCATAAAAATTAAGTCTGGGGTAGACAAACTTTGGATGAGGCAGGGGTGCTTCACTTAACCATTATTGTGAAATGAAGGGTTTTAGCATTTTCTTTTCTTTTTCTGTTACTTTTTTAAACCAAATCTGTTTTAAGTTTACATCAGTTTGATGTCTTGAATATGAAAATCACAAAAATTAAGTCTGGGGTAGAGAAATTTAGGATGGGGCAGGGGCGCTTCACTTTACCATAATGGTGAAATGATTATGGTCAGATTCATTATCAGATAGAATACATCAAATTTAAGTAAACTTTAAAAAAATAAATGGAAACTAGTTTGTCAGAATAGAAATTGATGGTAGCCTTCATTTCACCATGGGGCGGGGCAGTTTATATGAACCTGTAGTTCATTTAAGGACTGGTTGTCATATTTTTGACGTTTATTGGCGTGTAAACTATATCTGGCTTGCGATATATTGATTGGTGCGCGTTAGCGCACCATGTTAAATATATTGCAAGCCCGATGTAGTTTACACGCCAATAAACGTCAAAAATATGACAACCAATCCTTATATTTATATTCCAAACCAACAATATTAGTTATGCAATGTTGCGAGTATTGTTAATTGCTGTCTTAAAACTCTTATACACACCGACTGGGTCAGCGGTAAATTGTTCGGAACAGCCGGGTAGTTTCGCATTCCACAGTCGTTGTCAAGGGCAACCAGGCCGACAAAAACAATAAACAAGAAAGTTCCACAGTAAACACATCAATTTAATAATTGATTTTTTTTTTATTTAAATGCATATATGTCAATTACCAATTTGTATACTAACATGTGACCATTTTAATATATGTTGTGGTCATTTAGCGATTTAACTGTCATACAATAACATTTTAAGACACAACACAGCGGAACATTGCCACTTGGCGGTAATTAGGTCAGTGTATCACTACACGGACCTAATCCCCGTTGTAGTTCATTGGAAGATATGTTACAATGGGACCAGTAGAGTTATCTAGGCACTATGCAGTGCAAATGTAAATATTTCACCATGGCCTTCATATTGCCATACTAAACCAGGAATATAAAGATGTGTTAGTATATCAACAGCTGAATCGTTTATAAATTTTTAAAAGTTCTACAATATTTTCAGGCATTAATTTCTAAGTCTGTCACCTGGAATAAAATCGTAAAAATATCCAATAATTTAGAAATTGACAATAGTGTATAAATCAAGGGGGTAAAACTTGTACGCCGCAGTCAACCGTGAAAGTGACATGCATGATAGCATATATTATCGAAAATATAGTATCTTATCATAGGCACAGGGATCTGATAATTTGTTCCAGCTATATTTGGAGTAAATTTACATGTTTTAGGGGTTTAAATTGACTTTCGGAAAAAATAGTAGCCCCAATGATCATATGTACGAGAAGGGCAGAAAGCTCTCGATGCCAAAATGTCGACCTCACCTAACTTTCTTGCAACGAAATTAACATCAACATTTCTAGTTGATTACAGAAAAATGCTTAGTACCGTTGGAAAGATGGATAATTTTTCTTTTAAAAACCTCCTATATGCACGTTAATTGCATTTTTCTTCCGCGGACATGATCCAAAAACACACGCCATTTCAGAGTCTCAAAGTTTTTCGCAGTCATCGTGCCACTTTTTTGTAAATTAATGAGGTTGACCTCAGTCACGTGCCGAGACCCGTGGTCTGACTGGCTGGAAGTGCAGCCATCATTTCACTAAACTCAACAACACTGCATGTTTTGGCACTAGGCTGAGGTCAACCTCATTAATATACAAAAAAAGTGGCACATTGACTGCGAAAAACTTTGAGACTCTGAAATGGCGTGTGTTTTTGTAGCTATCATAACTTCAGAGTTACTATCCATTTAGAACTGGAGAATCACATCATGTGGAAAATATTCATATGCTAAATGACACAAAATCAATTCTGTAGTCATATTGAAGATACAATTATTTAAATGATCAAGTTAATGTTTATTTGTTTTTTATTATGAATTTCAGTATCCTGTTGAGGACTGCAAGGTCGAAGAAGCTTCGTAATAATGACAGAATTATCCTACTAGAAGGGAGCACCTTGATCAGTGATGCTTTACAAGCTGGTGGAAAACCAAAATCTATCTATTTTGCAAACTTTGATGCATTGAAAAGATTGCCAATAGAGCATCTTCAGGAAGTTCCAGTATACAAGTGTGAGGAACACCATATGAACCGTTGGTCGGACGTCGTCTCGACTGCTGATGTCATCGGTAAGAATGGTAGCTACTTCCTACAGTGAACATGTTAATGATGTATCAAATAACATAGGTACTTTAATCTTTTGGACCTTCCTTCATTAAAATACATGTACACTGATTTAAGTCAAATCAACCACTGATATAAAAGAAATACTTTGGGACTTGAACTACAGAAGTTATTGGGACCATCAATTACATATTGGAAGACTTATGTCTAACAATAACTTAAAACTAAAAAATGTAATCTAATACTGGTGATAATAGTTATTCAAAGAGGATAATTCCTTAAGGTGATATGCTGTTACACTCTATGATAAATACAACTTTGATTTATAAATATCTAATTAGTCCCAACTACCTATATATTGCCAGTGCTTGCATTCTTGTGTACATTTCCAATGACATAGATATTAACATTGTTTAAGCTGTAACCTGCAGTGTTTTCACTACCTTTTATTTACACACTGCTGAAAAGCATCAAGTATCAATAATGAATTTTAAAAAATGTCATGAGTCAAATCATGACTTGCAGTTGATTAGTTACTGCATATGGCACAAAGTGCTTGTGGCCTGAAGGTGAAGGGTACCATGCACTTCCTCAGCTTCAATTGTGAAGAAGGATTCCACTGAAGTGGTTTTTTTTAGGTCACCTGAGACAAAGTCTCAAGTGACCTATTGCGATCGCCTTTTGTCCGTCGTCGTCCGTCGTCCGTCGTGCGTCCGTAAACAATTTACATTTTCGACTTCTTCTCCAAAACCCCTGAACCAATTTCAATGAAATTTTGCAGGGACCTTCCATGGACAAAGGTCAACAAAAA